ATGTTTTATATTGTTGAGCAGCGTGATCACATTTCACATATAACTGTGATGACACACCTTCTCCTACCTGAATGCATTTTAGATCGATCGTTTTGGGAGAAGATCGTAGCATGTCTTGGTGAGATGAATATCATTGCTTGTCACTGAACAAAAGTGTTTATTTGATTTGCTGACCATGTGGGGAGTGCTCTCGCATGTCACACGTGATAAACAGCTTGTTCGTAAATCGGATTTTCATAAATTCAACTTCCATCTGATATTTGGAAAATCACCTTCGTCAGGTGAATTACAATCGAAATCCTCACAACAGCATTCTGTACACACACTGGTGTTATTGAGTAGCCGATTTGCATTTCGCATTCATCAAAATCATTTGACTCGTTCATATTGATGTGAAGTTTCATCACTTCTAATCATGTTCCCTTGTTCGACGTTGCCAACTGGAACACATTGTATTCCTTGTTGGAAGGACACAAAATGCATATTGATTCGCATCTATCTGTCATAAATAGCATATTATCCTTATACATGAATAGTGAGTAAGATTATTAGACATGTCACCTTTGGGTGACCAGCGTTTACAGTGTTATGATTCAGATATTGAAAGTGAAACATTTTCATATCTGCCATATGTTATCGTGACGATGTTGACTGCTTTTCTCGCTGTTTAATTTCAGAATTATTATCAGTGAGTTTCGCTGAACCATACAGGTAAGCGTCAGCATTATTCGATTAATTTATTATTGAGCTTAACAAGGTGTTTGAAATCTTCCCACGTCCTCACCATGCTACTTGCGAAATTATCATCTGAATGAACGACAATTTCCTAATTTCCAATGCGTTCACAATAACATGTGAAGATGGAGTGGAAATATTTTCCCAACCACCTCGATGCTCGATGCCAGGTATTAAGCACTACAGCATGAAATAGTCTACTTAACTGTGCTCATGATGTAATACTTTGTTTTTCATTTCTGAATAATAGGACGGAGAAGGTTGTGACCAGAAGAAAGTACGTCTGCTAACTTTCCATTCCAAATGTTATTTATCGAAACTTATGATAAGACTGTGAGTGTCTTAAATTTGCAAACAGTCTGTGTCACACCATTTGAGAATCAACACTTCACTAGATTACTCAACAGAATCGTGGGCTGGTTTCGAATTCTGAGTGAGAATTTAAGACAGAGAATTTCTCCCCTTCATTCATGACAACCAATTATGTGTTATGATGCTAATTTCGGCTCAAAATTCTCTTTGCCTTTCAGTTTCCTTAATATACCAAGGATTCATTGAAACAGGTGAGCCATCATACACTTAGAAGAACCTCAACATCCTGACAGTCACTTGAGAATTCCACTCACTACAGGTGGAGTTTATATATTTTAACATGAGAGAATTTTTCCAATACTACAGGAACTACCTAAAAACATTCATGAACAGCTGCCACCTACGCTGGCTCGATACTGAATATCAGATGGCCAGAATAATGAGAATAAGCAACAAGAAACTCTAGCTGACTTGCAACGAATCAACCAAGAACCCATCGCTCGAAAAAATATGCAGGAGAAAGTGGAGATGGATTGGGTTGGGGATACACCGAGTAGACGGATTGGGTACATCACGCTCCAGACCAGGACAGGTCAGGCCGTCGAGTGGAATCCAAATGGGAAACGACGAGTTGGGCGTCCCAGCTGAGGGTGACATGGAGTAGATGATGTGAGGAGGAAATGAAAGCTTGTGTGCAGTCTTGGCGCCAGGGTAAAAAGACTGCAGAGAAGAGAGTGTAATGGAGGCGTGCTACTGAAGCCGTATGTTCCACTAGGAACCCAAGGGAAAACTCATAATAACAATAGTAATACTAACAGGAACTACTTACACAGTGTTTAATTGTTTACCATCGATCTTTTCTTCATGAAATGTTGTTCGGAAAATGTGTATGCTGAAAATAGCCAGAACAACTCAAAACAAATAATCTACGTGAATTGTCGACAATATACGTCGTCTGTATTGCATTACTCATCATCTAAATGACAGTGATGTGAATGATTTCAGTCTGAACCTCGTAACATGCAAGGGAAAATCAAGGGAAAATCAATCCATGGAAGGTAACATAAGCTTACTCGACATAAAAATAGTCGCTGACCACTTTCTTATCCAGTAATCGATTCTAGTCGAAACCCTAGATCGCAGCAATCGTTTTTAATGTTATTCTCAAAGGAATCAGGCTGACCGTAATTGCATGGGATCCCTGATCATTCATTACACAATGTGTTCAGTTCAAATGCTGCAGGCATTAAATTCTTCCATCATCTGAGTAAATCGAGCATACAATATTTGACAGATGATTGTCACAGAGAAATTCCTAATGAAGCCTTGATTCAGCATCAATATCCCTGTGTAATAGTCTAATTGTAGATTCACACGATTACACAGGGAATCTCAATGAAGCGAAATGGGTGGAATAGAGGTTCACCACTCCTACTGGTATGGTAGGGTAGCTGTAGTGGATGAAGTGCTGAGTGAACATAGTCATTCACCAGTATACCCGTCAATATCTTTTACATATTGGTTATCATGCTGTTTGTCAAATAACTTTACCTGCTCAAATTTCAGGTCAATTTGTGAATTCAACTGAACACAGACTCATGGATTTCGATTATACTGACACTTGAATTGATTTATGGATCCGTTTCTCTGTTATTTATTATAAAATGCTTATTTGATGAGCTCTGGTTACAGGATTCCGCTTGTTGTTCCCACTTTCATCTTTCACATTTCGCTTAACGTATGTGTTATTGTCCTGTTTTGTGAACTACCTGCTTGTTCCAGTTTCATTCCGAATTCTATTACAGTGTAGAAGAAATCCCTGTGTGGACAATCCAGCTTCACTATCCATGTAATGGAGGGAATGCAATGTGATGGGTGTGTGGAATGTTTCATCTGGATATTACGTAGATTATCACCTATTGATATCAAGCGATGCAGCAAACCTGTCTCCCTGGCTGTGTTGCGTATATTGTAAGACGTTGAAGTTATTATTTCAAGAGAATGTGAACAGTTTGTTGTCTCAAACATTGTCCCGTAATGCTGGCGACAGCAAATTTATGACTAGTTCAGACAGCGATGATGACATAATTAGTGTGACTTCTTGAAAAACAGCCCAATGACACAATGTTACTCAGAATGTGGCGGTAGAAGAGGGAGATGACAATGTCAATGTAGGTAGTCTTTGATAGGCTAAATTCCTCACAATATCATCGTTGTTTCAAAACAATTGCGTTGTTTCTGTCAGGCTATTACCGCGTGGTTGAGGTCATTATCTTTGTTATGTGGAATTGTTTAGTGTGACTTTTTCTACCTACGGAAGCTGCTTTTTGATTTTATCTGCTTTTCAGTGTAGTTAAGAATGATCAAAATTGATTTTTTCTGCGTGATTTGGTTGTTTCTGGCTTTTCTGCAGGTCATTTTTCCAGCTTCTTGTTTGTTATGAAGACTTGGCTTGTACTTCGGCTTTTTGAACTTATGTTCAACTTACAGTTGAATGATTTTGCTACTAGGGATTCCTTATTATTTTGAACATATTGCTGCATTGTTATAATTTATAGACACTTATTTTGGTCTATCAGGTAATCTGTTGTAGCTTGGTTGTTTCAGTTATAACATCGCCATCTTCAACAACTCTCATCGTCGTTGTGAATCTTACAAGTTACTTTAGTTGTTTCCATTTTGCTGTTGCTCTTTACTGACGGACGGCTGCCAGAATAACACACAGCATGTTCCTTTGTCACCAAATTGCAACGCTTTGCATCATCATAGAACAGAGTATAGAATGGCAGTCAACTCAACTCTACCTCAACTTTATCGACTTTGAGAAGGCCTTTGACAGCATCGACCGAGAGGTAATTTGGAAACTGCTTGAAAACTACGGAGTACCACAAACATTTATCAACCTCATTCAACAACTATATGAAGACTCCATATGCCAAGTGATTCATAGTGGGGAGCTCAGCGATGTCTTTGAAGTGAAGATAGGGGTGAAACAAGGCTGCCGTCTACTATCACCCATGATATTCCTGATTGTAGTCAACTCGACTGGATCATGCAGCAAACAGTGAGGAGCGAGAAGATGGGAATGTGCTGGACTGCGGAAAAGAACCTAGAAGATCTGGATTTCGCTGATGAATTGTGTCTATGGTCTCACAAACTCGAAGATCTGCAGACGAAAACTAACAAGCTGACAGAAGTGGTGGGGCAGCGAAGAAGATACTTCGAGTGAATGTAGAGAAGACAGAGGTGATGATGATATCCAACCAATGTCACCACCACCACCACCAACAACAACAAGAAGCTACAATCACCATCAAAGGCAGAAACTTGAAGGAAGTAGCCTCCTTCACCTGTCTAGGAAGCACTGTTTCAACTACAGGCGACACGGGCACAGACGGGGATGTCAAAGTCAGAATCGGAAAAGCGCGACAGGTGTTCATTAGCCTGAAACCAGAGTGGAGATCTTCTGCACTCGGCATGTGGAACAAGATCCGGGTTTTCAACACTAAATCAGTCATGTCAGTGCCTCTATGTGATGGTTGAGAGACTTGGCGCGTTACGAAAGGGATTTCCAACAAACTACAGACATTCATCAACAACTGACCACACTCATTCGATACTGAAGATCAGATGTTTGTAATAAAGATTTGTAGAAAAAGATAAGTTTTTGATAGTATTTTGATTGAACTATTTGCTCATGATCCTAGTCATAACTGGAACTACTTCTTCCAACCTATCGTTTACTTCAATTAGTTGCATTTTTGTTAATGCTTTGTAGCTATCCAATCAGATGCTTTTTCTTTACAACCTACGACAGAGAATGTATATATATATATATATATATATATATATATATATATATATATATATATATATATATATATGTTAATTTACACTGCATTCAGAGCTTAAAATACAAACAATAGCCAAGATTTTGATATTTGGCACGAAACATGTTAAGTAATGTACTGCTTTGTATATTACTGAATATTTGGGTTCTCAATAATGGTACGTTTCTAGAAATATGATTGTTTTCAATTGATTACTTCATGTGTTATTTATGGAAGCCAACCTTTTTATAGTTGTTATCACCGATACTAATTTAACCTTTCCAAAACTTTAAATTTTGTGATAGATGGAACTGTTTAGCTTTTTATAATCACTGTGAACATCTGCTTGGTTGTGGCTAGCAGAAGAATCCAGGAAGTTTGTTTCATGTTAAGACTCATTAGCTGGATGTATCTGCACTCCAGTGCGGAGTGCTATTGATCCCACTGACAGTCGGACTTCATACCCATCGCTTCAAACGTCAGGACGTTATTCACTATGCCATGGAGGCACGAAAGCCACTTCTTGTGCAACGGGTATTAGCTATTACTACTGACTGACATATTCGTACGTAATTCTCTGTTGTTTTATTGGATCGAATTTTTCGACCTCTAATGCAGATGCCTCAATATTACCTGAATGTTAATTATGATAATTTGCTTGGTTATGGCTAGCAGAAGAAACTAGGACGCATGTTTCGTCTTATTTGAGACTCGTTTTAATTGTTTAGATGGTGAATAATATATAATTGATATTTAAAACAAGTAACAAATGTAATTAAAGCAGGATCTATTGAATTCATAAATTTCATTAGGACTAGCTAGCTTTTTACTCTACATACATGATTGTGTTTACTTTTGTGCTATAAACGAATACATACACACAATACAGACTACGACAATGAATGAATCTACCATGGTAGAGGTGTAAAAGTATTTTGAACTTATTTATTTTTATTTATAAATGTCTTGTTTTTCCACTTTATTTCTTCCTATACTTCACTATCATTCTGATGTACTATCATGTCTTCTTGAACTTCACTGCTTACTAGTAAAATGACTTATCGCCATCGTTATTATCATTGTTATCGTCCAACTATTACTCTAGCTTCCTTCGGTTTTACACTGTTACCAAGTTTGTTGATTGATGTTCATTTATCTTGTTTCAAAATGACGTAATTTTCAATCTTTTCAATATTCATATTCTCATTGTTATCACCCAATCTTATTATTACTACTATAATCGATATTTTGATTACCTAACACTTATGTTCTCTTAGTGTGTTACTCAGCGTCTACCTTCATGGTTGGGAAAGGGATACATAAAATCTATCAGAAGCTCGTTGATAGTAGTCACCTTGTAGATAAGAATCACGCTTTCATGATTATTCACCACATACCATATGTTCTTTCGAAAGGTATTCAAACTCATCTTTTACACATAGCAGAAGCTGTAGAAATTCTAGTTATTAATCCTAGTCTATGTATCCAGAATAAATTTGTACATCGCTTTTCTTGGCTACGGAATACTTAGTTAATAACTTTATCATAAAGCTTTTTTCTGTCCATTTTCTTATTCTTCACCCGTTTCACATAATAACTGTATTTTTCTAGAGTTTGTTTATCCACTTACCTCCGTCGTTCAGTATTACGCCACTTTTATTTTTCCTAGTTTTTGACCCACCTTTACTATCAGTGGAGTGCCTACATTTTCATGCTGCTTTCTTGGTTCTTCTCATCATTATCATCTATATTGCCGAGTGCTTTGGTCAACTTTATCACTTTTATTATTTGTATTATTATCATCATCGTGATGTTTAAAACATTTGTCACATCAACCGACAAATCTACATGATTGGTTCAACGATATATATATATATATATATATATATATATATATATATATATAAAGCTGTTTGTATTAGAGTAAAACCTGAAGAGTATCCAGTTGAAAACATTATTATTCGCTCATATGTCTTGCTCTAACTTTATCCAGCTATCTAGCTGACTACTGATTGTTCTGTTTGAAATGATGTAATCCATCCTAAGTCCTTTTAATTCTCATGATCAATTCGTTACCCCCTCTCAATCTAATCCTAGTTCTGTTTAATAAAAATAAATTATTCACTCTCTGTTGCTATGCTTCATTCAATGTCTTAGTCTGTATTCTATGTGTATGTATTCCTTTATTGCATACTAGTATATAAAATCATGTATGTAGAGTAAAAAGGTGAAGAGTCCTATTGAAATTTATGAATTCAATAAATCTTGCTTTAATTACGTAAATAGTATTGACAAATTTCAGTCAAGCGGTTGCGATTATTTGCATTACCCAGTTGAAAATTCGTGCTACATGAGCGTAAATCGACTCTGATGATATCAAAAAGTATGAAAGGGGTTGCATAAGTAAGTCACTGTGAAGATAAGCTGTTGGAAGTCTAGAAATGTACTCAGACAGAGACATAAAATCAATGTAGAACCTCGAACACAAGTACATCGGTTCAACTTGCCACACTTTACCCCAGAGAAAGATACATGGGAAAATGAAGCTAAGTAAAAATATTGAAGCTTTAGGTTATGTTAAAGAGTCCGCATATCAATCACTGATTCATATCGTCTCAAGGACCCCCAGTCAGGTAGTCTACACCTCCCCAAACGGTCTGGTTACCTCGAACCCTCTTCCAACATCCGAAATGCACCCAGCTGACCTGAGCTCAGTCGAAGAAAAAGTCTAGTGTGAACTGGAAAATTTAGTGCAAAAATAATATTTTCGTAGAAATAAATTTACAAATGAGTAAGGTGCATAGTTGGGTGGCAAGCAATGAGTCACACCTACTGTGTGAGGACTAGTGATACTACTACCTGGCTGCCCCATTATCTCGATAGGTTAGGCTATGTTCGAACCCGCGATTCATTTGGTTGAAAGTCACCCCTCTAAAGTATTGATTTATATAACTGTCATGCATCAGGTGAAAATCATGAACATCATAGTAGAATTAAATTATATGATGTGCACAAATATCTCTATTCTAATAGTTCATCGAAAAATCTAGTGAAAGATAAACTGTGTAAATTATTTTTATTTATTTGTCTCTTTGGTTCTTAGTGGAATATAGGGCTTCAGAAACATATCTGTATTCTACTCTGTTCTCCGCAATCTTTCCAACCTGGTTTCACGACTGCCCACAAACTCTCATTTCTTCCTCACACCATCTCCTATATGTCAACCTCACCTCACACACCCAACCCGTCGCTTCCCATCTCCGTTCCACTCGACTGCCTGGCCTGCCACGTGATGTCCCCAGTCAGACTTCTCAATGTATGTCCAATCCATATCCACTTCCTTACACCACATACTAGTTGAGCGATAGCTTCTTGGTTGGTTCGTTATCCGGCCACACTTCCTTCTTGCTTATTCTCATTATTCTCGCCATCTCATCTGATCTGATCTGATCTGATCTGATCTTCAGTGTCGAGTGAGTGTAGATGGTAGCTGTTGATGAATGTCTATAGTTTGTTGGAGATGCTTTGCGTAACGCACCAGTCTCTGAGCCATACAGAAGCATAGACTTGACTTTGGTGTTGAGAATCCGGATATTGTTTAGGCATTATGCTGAGTGGATTGGAGATCTCCACACTGGTTCTAGGTAAATGAACGTCTGTCTTACTTTTCCGATTCTGACTTTGACATCCTCGTCTATGCCTGTGCCGCCTGTAGTTGATACGTTGCTATCCAGTTAGGTGGAGGTGAAAGAGGCTACTTCCTTTAAGTTTCTCCCACTGATGGTGATTGGAGTTTGTTGTTATCGGTGGTGTTGTTGACCTTAACGTAATAACAGACGATAATCGCTGAATAAGCATGAAGTATCATAATGCAATGGCTTAAGCATACGTTTTTCAGGGGATTTTGTGACATAATAGCTGAATAAGATTTTCTAATTTGCCTATGTCGGATACTGGAAGTATTAACTAGTCTTGTCTACAATTAAGGATATTTTAGTGTAATTTTCCTTGGTAGCATTATGGTTTATTCTGTTCCATTAAGAAAAGTAAATTTTCAACTATATTTCATTGGTTTGTTAATTAACCTATTTACTTGAGCTCAACAACTATAAAATAAAAAGTAAATGTTCACAGTTATGATTTTCATGTATATAATTATCAGGTCACATGACAGCTGAAACACTTCAGGTTTCTGCTTCAGACGTCGGCGCACCAGCCAGTCTAATGATGTCTGCCATCTCAGGTAATCTACTCTTTTGTTCTCATGGTTTTTTTAACAAATATATATTGCGAAAAATATATTTCATGACTTTGATTAATAAAGTGTTAGTAGACTCCCTCAAGTTATGTAAACAAATATCATCATCATCAATATCAACATAGAATCAGGCATTACTGCGTAACAGTTCGAGTTGCCACAGCTCATATCAGTACATCAAGTAGAAAGGTGGTGAGGTGAAAGATGAAGATAACAAAATTCAGTCAAAGGAAATATGAAGTACGAGAAGAACGAAAGAACGAATGAGAAAACGGTGAGATTCGGTATAGCGTCGTTAAGATGAAGATGATGTATGTATTGATCTGTGCCACTGACATCGGTTCTTAGTCATGCCATCACCTAGAGTCTCCAACCACTGGTTCTTCTTGTCCCGCGGACCCCAACTACTTAGTCTGCATCGCCCACATGGCTCAAACCAACAGTCAGAGACTTCATACATTGGTGGCATGTTTTACTCTGGCCACCTGGGGCCTATATATACATACACACATCTATATCTAAAGGATGTGTATTTAAAAAGTGTTTCAGACGAGTGCATATTTGAAACAGTGGGTCTGCTTGAATAGTTTCGACAAAGTAATAAGAATACTAAGTTTATCTGAAACCTGTTATATAGTAATAAAATACATTATGAATAATCTGGTCACATATATTTGTCATACATATTTATATGAATTATAACAGAGGTTAAATGGGTTTAAACAATAATCTATAAAACTAAAGGCAAAAATTAATTATTCGATACTCCATTACATTCATTTTAACCCAATTTCGAGGTTCCTGGGGATTTTTGATTTCAAAATGGTATTAATTATAAACTGATATCAGTAGGAGAACTACTAAAAACCTGAGAGAATTTCAAACTTGTTTTTTCCCAGTAGTGGATTCTGACTTCTTTGCCGAATGGTCAACGTGCTCACTATGAGACCCACAGCTCTTCAGTTTGACCCCCGATCCATATTTCCTTCTAGTTAATAATAAGTGAAGAAAAGGAATCTGATTTTATTTTCTGCTTTACAGGCCAAATCAATATGGCTTTTTCATGGTGTTGAGTTGACCAAGAAGACTTTTTATATTCTGTTGTTTGTCATATTTAACTAAGATGTCAACAAAGTATCTCCTGTGCAGAGAGACGTTTTCGATTAAATACTCAGCCAAACATTCTGCATGTAGCGTATAGACATGAGACATCAGAAAATAATAATCACTCCCCTTTTCTTCATGTATTATTAACTAGAAGGGAATATGGATCGGTAAAATGGTCAGTGTACAGAAAGTCTACGTGAACCAGGTAGTGCCTTAACTTTCATAGTCTCCGTCCAATACAGTACAAACGAGGTCAAGTTAAAAGCTTCTTCGAAAGTTCCAACGCATTTGAACAACAGATACATTGGAAGAAGAAATCAATTTCTTAACAGAGACACTCTTGGAAAACGCATATTCCCTGAGGTTCACCTGTCGTTATAAAAACGTCACAACTGTGCAAAGCAATCAGTGTTCCATCCCGAAGAAAGACGTTTACATCACTCAACCGTATAAGAGGCAATTAAACAACCTGATCTCAAGACGAAAACTGAATTCAGTTGTTAAAAAGACACAGTATGCAGCCAAACTCCATTTTACTGAGAAGAAAAATATACTTCGAAATAAACTTCACCACTACTTAGATGATTACATCCCTCTGTGTATACCAATTTACATGTTTGACAAAATCATTGAGAGGAGTAATCAAAGTGTGTAGCCGAGCGGGGTGAAGCGTATCCCTAAATAGCTAGAAAGACAACTACATGCAAATAGTCCGATAAATACAGGGGTTGGACAGACGTCATCGTCTATAGAGAGACAATATTATGTAAAACAGGTCACTGGATTGACCCCAAAAACACTTTACACCCTTGTATAGGAGGCATCAAGACCATGTACTAATGTTCATTGAAGCCTTAGCTATACGAAAGTTTGAAACCTCTTTGTGCATCCTTACCTTAAATCTCCCTCGGTAATCTTTATCTCATTTTAATACCAAAGGGTGTATGAAAGATGTGTTCTTCTTACTTATTGTCCTTATATCTTTCAAACTTTGTATGATCTTAATTTCTTAATCTTACTCGACCCTACTTTCATCCATGGTATTATGTTTTTTTTGAGAAGTAAGTGTATCTGACCAGATTGTTCAAAATGTATTAGGTGAACTGATCACATGTTTCAGGCAATCTTCATCACGCTGTATTATTTACCAAGGCTACTTCTTGACTGAATGTAGGGTGATACACTTAGACTTTTTGCTAGCGGATCATAGTTCTCTTTTAATTTTTGTAATTAGTAATTAAATGTTTGAATGTATGTTACAGGCGACTGTATATTTCTTTGTTGAAAGTTTCCTATAATTCATGTATATATTCTCTTATTACTTCCAGATATTTTTTTAACTGAACTTAAATTGTCTATTAAGACAAGAAGTTATAAACATGGAAAGAATAAAGGGATATCAGCCTCTACTTATGGTGCTTATCGTTCCAATGTAAGTTTTTATAACTGAATTTTTCAAAACATTTTTTGTCCGACATATCAGAATTCTTTATAAACGAGACTTCAGTCATTATATAGCAAGCTGAACGAATGGAAAGCCTCTCAGTGTAGTAGTATAAAAACAAATGAAACAGCGACAAATGGGTACTTCTTCAGTACTCAACCACCGTAAGTTATTGACTTACACTCAATATGCTTCATGAAAGCTTTTATCTATGATGACCGAATATGTTTTCTGCACTATTGAAGATCTCTGTCAGTTGACTGTTTATTGCTAACACTACTGTATGAAGATTAAAGGTGAAATAGGAACCTGACTCACTCGAAGATTTCAGGAAACAGGAATGTGATTATCAGTTTCGTGCTATGGCGCGTCACGAAAGGCATTTCCAATAAACTACAGACATACATCAACAACTGCTTACGCTCGTTACTGAAGATCAGATGGCCAGAAAGAATAAGCAACAAGGAACTCTGGGAACGAACCAACCAAGAACCTATCACGCAGCAAATATGCAGGAAGAAGTGGAGATGGGTTGGCCATGCACTGAGAAGGCCGACGGAGGACATCACGCGCCAGGCCCTCGAGTGGAACCCAGATGGGAAGCGACGAGTTGGACGTCCGAGGAAAGGGTGACATGGAGGAGGTCGTGCGAGGAGGAAATGAGAGCTTCTGGGCTGTCGTGGGACCAGGTTCAAAAGATCTCAGAGAACAGAGGTCACTGGAGACGTGCTACTGAAGCCCTATGCTCCACCAGGAACCCAAGGGACTAATAATAATAATAATAATAATAATAATAATAATAATAATAATAATTCAAGCAAGAAGAAAATTCCTTTCTTATGATGAGTAGATCTGCCTCATATTCCGCAGCTATTACTAGTGGCTGAGATAAACTGGAGAACCATGAGAAGGAGATTTGGTCAGTTGTTTCATTGCATTTCAAAGACAGTTTGAAGTATGTAGTAGAAAAGTCTTTGAAATAGTCTTCAGAATCATCGGTTTTCAAGATGAATGATCCAAATTTTATGTATGCTGAATAAATATTTAGGTGAATCTATTTTCACCTAGGAGGTTAATTATTACAGACAAACCTATCTGATGTCTTTTCATTTTTCACTTAGATGATGCAATTAATGGCAAGTATAGGTCCGAAATTTAAACCCAAACGCATATCATGTGATATCTCATTGCCTGCAGTCTATATAGATCATATTCCTAAAACCATCGATGTCATACTAGCATTGTCCAACACGGAGATGACGCGTATGTTTTCTTCAAACTACTGGTTCAAACGATTGGAAAAAATTTTATTATCTGCCAACCTTGAAAGCAATAATGTTATTTGGTCAGCTAGTGAGTGGAAAACATATTTGTTCTATTATTTGAAGTGTTTTCCTGTTATCTGATTCAATGTTTTGCATGCAATTGCTTTCACTTTACAAACTCTCATGGAAAAATAATTAGTAATGACAGGTAGGCGATCAAGTCAGACATCGTGAAAATGATGGAAACTTGATGAAGAATTCACTGATATAGCTTTATCTTAAAGGATCTTTTCAATACTCTGTTTTTTTCAATATCTTTTAGAAATAATCTCAGTTAAACGTAAGTACAAATTATGCCTACTATTAAAAAGCAAAATCATTTCATTGAAATGTATAGAAAAAATTGTCACAGAAATTCTAATTCGAATTAAGTTGTTGAAAGATAACTACTTAGTCATTTCGTATAACATGACATTAAGTGTATTTTCATGCGAAACCGACATCTACTGAAGGGATCCAATGAATTAGTAATTTGTGTGAAATCACTGAATCCAACATAAAATGAGAAATTCTGATTCTTTTCCAATATAAGAAGAATCTTTCATGATTTTAATTATGGTCTTACAGTATGATTGCTCAACTTTTACATAAGTATAGTTTTTACTCCTGGCTATTTAAATTCAACTGACAGTTCTTTGTTTTCCGTTGTAAACGCTTAAACAGTGAATGTAAACACAACAAAAGGATCACATTTGAACTAAGCATATGTGAACAACAAGTTAGCAACACAAAATTCAATCTATGAAATTATATTATTTCCTAAGCAAAATAAGGACAATGAACTACATCTCAACTTTTGATGATAAAGACACCGAAAAAAGAACCAATAAGGGAATATCTTTTTGACTATCTGAGATAGCGATGGTTTGACAGGCTATTATTTACACTGGGTGATGACTGAAGATGAAATGAAAATTTCAACCACGAGGTCCTCAGTGGGTAGAGCATCGAGCCGAAAACCCAGTGGCCGCTAGTTCGAATCCAGCGTGGTTGAAATTTTCATTTCATCTTCAATCATCATCCAGAGTAAGTAGGAACATGGTTAAGGATGGATCGTGGCTAGCAGTGGGATCCAGGACGCGCATTTCGTCCTACTTGGGACTTGTCAGCTGAATGTGCCCACTTCCAAGTGAGTGATGTCGTTCCCACCGGGATTCGGACTCAGGAGCCATCGCTCCAAACACCAGCGCGTTATCCACTACACCACCGAGCCAAGATAGCCACTTTTTGTGTGACGGGTATGGTTTTTTTAGTATAAGGGTTTTTATATGATACCGTCGTTGCTTGAACCGAAGTTATCGGTTTCTGTTAGCATATGGGCTCCTGTGCGGAATCCTCAATATTGCCAGCAATCATAAAAAAAACCATACCCGTCGCACAAGAAGTGGCTATCTTGGCTCGGTGGTGTAGTGGATAACGCGCTGGTGTTTGGAGCGATAGTTCCTGAGTCCGAATCCCGGTGGGAACGACATCACTCACTGGGAATCAGGTACATCTAGCTAACGAGTCCCAAATAGGACGAAATGCTCATCCTGGATTCCACTGCTAGCCACGATCCATCCTCAACATAAACAAATTTGCTGGCAATATCGAGGCATCCGCACAGGAGCCCATATACTAATAGAGACTGATCATTTCGGTCCAAGCAACCACGGTATCATATAAAAACCTTTGTAATAAAAAGGAACATAGTTTCCATAAAAATATATAACAAGAAACATTTTCATAAAACTACTTTTAACATGAAATATCTTTCAAAATAAAATCATGGTCTAATGAAATTCGATGAGACTCCAGAGTAATAAGTTACTCACTTCTTTCATGCATGTTTAATGTTAAATTACACATGTTCAGTGAAATCAAAAATCGTAGACAATGAAATACTATTTGTCCCGAGGAAACATTATTTTTCAAGCGAAAAATCAAAAGGATCGAAATGTAAAACTATTTGAATGCATTGCACAGTTTTCTGTTAGTGTTGAAGAAAACTAATACAGAGATAATTTTCTCAACGAATGAATGTGAGTGATGAAAATGGTCAAAAATTAAAATGCTTAGAATAAATTTTCTGTTCCCTTTTCAGATATGTGTAATCAATGTAATATGAAGTAATAAGACTAAACCAGTTGTCTTCTACACCAACGAATTCTTTATTCTGTAGCCACTTTGAAATCCTGCGAATAACATTCATTATTCTGAAAACAGAATGATGAGTTTGCAAATGTCTTATAAAGTGCACAGTCCAATGAGAACAAAATCATTCACTGAGGTGAAGGTACACTTAGCTTATGAGTTGCAGATCGCACGAAAAGCGCTTTCTGGAGTTCTCTGTTGGTCATCGAGGTCAGTATAACATTGTACGGTCTACGTTGATATTCGTCACAGTTGAGTAGTTTTGCAACTGCCAATAGCCAAGATCACAAGGTTTGATCTCTGACACAAAAGTAACATGAAATAGCGAAAGATATTACCAGTAAACAACTTGAATGTTTAGAAACAAATCAGGCGGAGAAAAATATCAACGTTAACCGTGCAGTTTGTAAGTCATTTGCAAAATGATTATCCTATTTTAGGTATGTGAATCCATTTAAGTCAGATAGCCAGATTCAGGTGATCCGAACTAATTCGGCTTTTCAAGCTAAATTCGTCCACCAGATAAGCACGATGAAACCCCCAACCGCTGTTTAGATGATACTGAACTGGCTGGCGAAATACTACAGATCATTTTGAGAGGTTTAGAACCACTCAGTTGTTCAACATCTTTGTTTATTTATCAATCTTTTTGGTTTGCATTATGCAAACGTCATTTATTGTCACCGGTAAGCATACGCCTGAAGAGGCAACCATCGTTTGCTTACAGAACTAGCATGTTTCGGAATGTGAAACACTGGATTTCAACTGATTGTTTTGTCGATATACTCATCAACTTCATAACAAATGAGATTACACTTTGTAATGTATGCCAGTATGAGTGCATGGCATGGCCCAGTTTCGCACAAAAATGTTCTCTTTTTAAAACAATTAGTTCCCTTTTTGAACTTCTACAAAACAATAAGAAGATGTAAATTGTCTGAACCGTGTAATGTATTTGCGCAACACATTTCGAATTATCTGATCACACACGTACTTGTCCTAGGTATTTATATTAAAAACTCATGAAGATAAGGGGTGAGAAAATAAAAAAGTGGTCAGGTAGGAACGCTGACTTAAAGGCCGAATAACAATGAAAATCAGTAGAGCGAAAAAATAATAGTACATCGAACTTGGTTTTCAATAGTTGAATTTATCAAGGAAGATTTAATGTGACAACAAACTGTTGATGAACACATAAAAGTGGTTTCAACTTCCTAATAGCTAAGGCTTCAACAGATTTCAGGATCCCTCCCCAAAATGTTTTGTAAATAGGTGTAAAGGAAGTAGCCACATCAATCTTGTGACCTGTCTCAAAGATATGTTTGGCGATCGAAGAACTTGGACGTCTGCTACCAACATTTATAGGTTCAGGTGATTTGATTTGCTTCTGAAACCACTTTGGAATATGTTCCGAGGCCCTTACTTGCATGGATCCATTAGTATTCGCTATGTATGTGTCACCACACGTACATTTGAATTGGTAGATACAATGGGATGTGACATTGTCGTTCACCCCTTATCTTCATGAGTTTTTATATAAATACCTATGACAAGTACGAATGTGATCAGATAGTTCGAAATGTGTTGCACAAATACATTACATGGTTCAGACAATTTACGTCTTCTTATTGTTTTGTCAAAGTTCTCTTTTTACGCTTTTTGTTTTAAACCTACTCTCTACCCATCGAATACAGCTGTAGTGGAGACTCCTTAAAATTGATAAAGTATTCTACAAATCTTTCGATTAAAAACCAACTTATTGTTCATTATTCACTTGTTTCCAGATAGATTTCCGAGTGACTTTAAAGGTCACCCTGACAAAAACTAAAATAACCAATTAGACTTCTTTATTTTATGAAAATCTGCCTTTCCTGCAGAAATGTAGAAACTTAATTGGTCATTTCAATGTTATTAAGGTGACGTTTAAAGCTGCCTTAGACTTCATGAATTGTCTGTCTGAATTAAAGATAAATAATCCATTTCAAGTCGAATTCAACATCAAGTATTGTCGATTTTACACTGAATGAAATTCAGAGTGACTGAATCTCATACTTGTTGTCAAATGATTAACTGCTCACTGCTTGACCTTTTCTCTATGCTATATCCTGAATTATGAAAAACATTACCATGCTGAATGAAACAGTTTTTTGGTTCTCTTCGTTTCAATTTTTTCCTTGTCTGAAACAATCTTATTCAAAAAAATTTATTAGCATATTTTTCTACTATTCATGGTACTCTTGATCTCTGTGAAACTAGTTTTTCATTGCATATCTCAGCTATAAAATTGGAATACCAAGGTAAGATATTTTCAATCTAATTTTATATGAATGTCAGCTGTTTTCTTATCCCATTGTATCTTAATAGTCTGTAAAATAACTCATGATTATTACAATTCACATGGTGCTGATTTTTTTCAAGCCCAACCAGTGTCAAATAATGTATAATCGAGTACTCTTCCATATGTTTATATATCCCTTGAAGGAAAATTTTCAAAAAGCATACATACAACTTTTCAACACACAATTCAGGGAATATTGAAAAAACACCATTGGACATTTTAAAGTAGTTGGTTAGAAGTTGCAAAAAAGACTACAGACTCCATATAACTTATGACCAGGCATTGTTGTTTATCGATGCTTATAGTTTCCCGTTGATTATAATACTGGAACATAACGATCGATCCTTTCTGTCATATGGGCTATTTAAATGGATGTCTGACTACTGTTTGAAGTTTTTAATATGAAGTTTTATTTATCAGGATGTTATATATATATATATATATATATATATATATATATTACGGTATTCGTAGCATTCATTCCTTGTAGGATCATAGATGCACACGGATTAGGAGTCCAGAACTAAAATAAAACAGCTGTCCAATATTCCCAGGTTCTCAATGGTTCTCCAACTGATGGTATTTTATGAACACCAACATGAAATCATTGTTCTTTACCCGATGGTAATCAGTAGAACCAGGACAAAAATGGAACTTTTCACCACCTACATTTTGAAGGAAAATGAAACTTCTGATGCATTCATCCTGATAACAGGACAAGCTAGTTTACTTCTTCTTGAAGTGTGTGCTTATGATTTTGTCTTAAATGACAATGAAAACCAACAAAATTAAATCCTCCTCCTCACCTACAAAAATCCTCCATCATAAATTACTATTGGTTCTGACTAAGATCCCTGTGTTTCCTTGACTCACTCCCCTATTGTTAATGCTGAATTTCAAATCTTCATTTATTTCTACATGTGTAAAGTATGTTATGCCATTATTACTTCTCATACTTCAATTCAATCGCAGGCTCTCCAAGGCGACTGGAATACGGTACGATATTTGTTCATACATTGTTCAAATAAATATACATTTAGCTATTGTCAAATTTATTATAAGAGTAATCCTTGGGCTCTTTAAAAGAATCTTATTCCAGCCTAATTGATTTCTTGGATATATCACACAGTGGACACAGTGTAATTTACTGGATTACGTCTTCAAAAATCAGAATTATACAAACCACGTTTAAAAGTTGTGGAATTATAGTGAAAAAATTATGAACGATAAATTGTCCCTGAAACGTAATCCAGTTATTAATACTGTTACACTATGTGATACACTTAATAAATCAACTAAAATGGGTTTTTTCAAGTTGATGTTCATCATAGACTGACATCAGTTGGAGGAACACTGGAAACACAGGAGCACTGGACAGCTGTCTCGTCCTAGCTTCGAACCCTGGTGGGGCCATGAGTGTACACTGTTGAGAAATCCCTTGCTGAGACGAAATAGTTGTCCATTGTTCCCAGGCTTCTAATGTTCCTCCAATGGATGTCATTCCATGATAATTACCACTTTGAAAAATCGATAAATTCCCACAAACCCCCAAATTTAAAATGACATATTTGGGGTTATCTTACATTTTGACTGCATCTTAGAACAGTAAGTCAAAATTAAAACGAGAAAAGATTGAAAATAATTAGTTGCTTATAACTTGTAATACAGAAACAGTGTTTTATTGATTACGTTCAATATCAAAGTAGTGTTTACATACAAAGCTTAAAATTCCAGTTTCCCCATCTCATTATTAAAATGTCTGTGATGCAGATAGCATAATCATATCTGTTTTTTGGTGACAGTTTGAAGAAGTATCATACAAACAGAAGAGAAATTTTCAGCAATACAATATTTTTGTAGAGGTCTACCTTCCGCTACAAAATCACCGTTTGATAGTGGACTACGCAAGTAGCTCAGTTTGAATTGGAAGTAATAAGTGGAAAATATTTTTATTCTAATATTGATAAACACACAATCTGATCATTTTTAAGTGTGAAAAGTTTTACAACTAATGACCAGCTTTTGTATCTTTCAGAATACTACAGTTTTGAATATACTCCAGTATACCCAAAAAAGAAATTTGATTGGTGCAACGAAGTTAGCTAGGATTTCTCTTTTTATGTATAACATTATGGTATCGATCTTATTTAGATTGGATTTAGATTATTACTGTTTATACACCCATATCAAGAATCATAGAGTCACTTTTATTATTTTCTACCAATCAACAGCAACTTGTCATAACTCGTACTAAGAAGTGAAAGATATTTTCAATAACATTATTAATCATAAAGTATATGTGTAAAACAATTTCTGTACAGAAGGAAGTTAGTCTCAAAATTCATTAGAGTTATATGTCATAGTAAACGTTTCAAAATACATGTAATCATCGTTTGGCAAAATGCTATTCGATTCATGAAAATGTTTTATTCTTAATTTTAAGTCTAATACTTATAGTGTATGCAGGACATTGTTGCCAAAAAGCAAAAGGTTTTCAATGATACCATTAACAGCCATACTGACAAGAGTCATTCTAACATAAGTTAAGGCTTTCAATTCCCCTGTTTCGATATTCTCTGAATACATGATACAAATAAACACTAAAAATGTTTCATAGTGTTATCTAACAACTTGTTATTTGTTCAAGTTAATCTCTTCATACAATATCAGTGATACAATCGAAAAATTGTTCATTTCATTAGAAAAATAATTTTTTTTAATTATTTTTTAAATGCTCCAAAATTAAATTTTCATAATTTATTAGCCTCTTAGTTAGTGATTTTCATTATGTGTTAAATTTCAGATAGCAATTCGTTTATCAAAAAGATATCATGGAATTGGCAAACCAACTGATTTCTGTACATATGATAAAGAAAAGAAACTATTGAAGATAAATGTCTCAAAATCAATATTATTTTATAATAATTTCTTCATGATGAAAAATTCAGCTTATCAATTAATTAAATATATTATTGACTTGAACAATCAAAGAAAAGTATGTAGAAATAATTTTTTTCAGATAAATACAATAATATTTTAGGTATTACATAAGCCACATCATGATAAATTCAAAAATAAAAGGAAATCAAAGGAATCAAATGTGCAAGATATATTTACTCCAAAGAAGTGAGTTTACATTTTAATGTTCTCCAATTAAGTTGATTTATGTTATTTAGTTGAAAGTAGGCAATAGGAAGTTCTGAACATGCATTTCATGATTGTTGACTTTCTTTAACATGTCATATCTGTTACCTTGAAAGAACCAATGTCATTTCTGAGATTTATATCCAAATCACCCAATGTTGTAGTCTATAAATTATTTGTCTCACATTTTAAAATGGATCGAAGGAATCTGGTTAGCATTCAAGAATCGAAAACATGTAATTGGTTGCTTTCTATTGACTAATCAGTGTAGCTTAGTTTATATTTCCAGTTATTTATAAGCGTTAAGAACCAATAAATATTTATTTGAAACAGTTAGTCCCTTTAGTGTTATTGCTTGTATTACACCGTCACTGGGAAGCAGGTACATCCAGCTGACGAGTCCCAAATAGGACGAAATGCGCATCCTGGATTCCACTGCTAGCCACTGCCCATCATTACTAAACATAGTTAGTTCCTTTGATAAATTTGTAGAGTGTGATAAGATGACAGAGGTTATCTGAGAAATGTGATGTATTCAAACAATACATCCCGAACAGTCTCATCACACATTAACTTATCAAAGCATTTTATATAAAGTATGGAAAGATTATGGGGTAAGATAAGTAGATTAAGATAATAAAAGATTTGGAAAATATGAGGATAATAAGGAAGAATAGTACATTTCCATATTTTCCATGACAATGAAATAGCATTGAGATGATCAAGGAAGATTTAAGGTAAGGACAAACTGTTTTTGAATCAACAAAGAAAGTTTGAACTTTTGCATGGTTAAGGCTTCGATGAACCTCAGTACACGATTTCGATGGCTCCTATACAATGGTCTAAAGGCTGTTTTGGAGTCAATCATGTAGCCTGTTCGTATACTGTGTTTACCAATACATGATGGCACCTTTCTTCCCCCTGTATTTATTAGAATGTTGGAATGTGGTTCTTTTTCTATTCATTAAGGGATACGCTCCATCACTCTCTTTCGACTTCACACTTCGGTTACTCCTCCCAATGTATGTGTCACACACGTTAATTGGTATACACATAGGGATGTAACGTACTCATCTGTGTGGTGATGAGGTTTATTTTGAAGCACTGGTTTCGTTTTCTCAATAATATTGAGCTTCGATGCATTGTGTATCTTTTTAATAACTGAATTAAGTTTTCGTCTTGAGATCATACTGTTTGAATCCCTCTTATACGGCAGCGTGATGCCTAAATTTAGTCATTTAGGAGTTCTACTATCAACTCAATGACTTTCTCAACCAGTGCACTTGACAGGTGTCCTGGCGCTAGCTGAAGACTTGTGTACACACGTCAGTCACTGAGGTTCAGGAAAGTGTTCTTTAGATGACCAATGGGAGTTACTAGCTACATTTCAGAAGGCAGCTAGTACAGTGATGTGCAGCAGTCCACTGCGCCACAAATGAAACGAAATTTGCGGAGAGACCATAAAGCCTTGTATTCAGAAAGTGCGAAAGAGATCGAAGTAGCATCTGCAGCTGACAACAGTAAGAAGCCCATTCGATTCACTGGAAGCATGAATCATGTTATCAGACGGACACATACCTTCATAAATGTCTGAGTAGAGCTTTTAAAAAGCAGTTCAGTTAAACTGTCGCTACAGCAGTGTCTATTATTATTTATTATTTTTCCCTTGGGTTCCTAGTGGAATATAAGGCTTCAGAAACATATCTGTATTCTACTCTGTTCTCCGCAATCTTTCCAACCTGGTTCCACGACTGCCCACAAACTCTCATTTCTTACTCACACCATCTCCTATATGTCAACCTCACCTCACACACCCAACCCGTCGCTTCCCATCTCCGTTCCACTCGACTGCCTGGCCTGCCACGTGATGTCCCCAGTCAGACTTCTCAATGTATGTCCAATCCATATCCACTTCCTTACACCACATACTAGTTGAGCGATAGCTTCTTGGTTGGTTCGTTATCCGGCCACACTTCCTTCTTGCTTATTCTCATTATTCTCGCCATCTGATCTGATCTGATCTGATCTGATCTGATCTTCAGTGTCGAGTGAGTGTAGATGGTAGCTGTTGATGAATGTCTATAGTTTGTTGGAGATGCTTTGCGTAACGCGTCAGTCTCTGAGCCATACAGAAGCATTGACTTCACGTTGGTGTTGAGAATCCGGATGTTGTTCAGGCATTATGCTGAGTGGAGTGGAGATCTCCACACTGGTTCTAGGTAAATGAACGCCTGTCTTGCTTTTCCGATTCTGACTTTGACATCCTTGTCTGTGCCTGTGCCTCCTGTAGTACTTGTCGGTCAACTCTTCAATCAAAGGCCTTTTCAAAGTCAATGAAGTTGAGGTAGAGATGAGTTGACTGCTATTCTGTACTCTTTTCTATAATGATGTGAAGCGTTGCAATTTGATCTGCACATGATTTGTACTTCCTGAATCCAGCCTGTTCCGGTCGTAGTTTTGAATCCAGTGCATCGTTTAGTCTCTTCAGGATGATGCGGCTTAATATTTTGCTTGCTCTGGGTGAACAGGAGGGTGATTCCGCTCCAGTTCTTGCAAAGGCTTAGGTCGTCCTTCTTCGGGTGTTTGACAAGGACAGCAGTGTCTAGTGCTACACAATTATTTCACACTAGCCTACCTGACGAATCTGGGATTTATGTAGAATTGAAAGTTATATAGCATCAGAGGGCAACTGGTTTTGACAAACTATAACTGGTTCTTCCAGATGATCAACGTAGATTTTATACAACAAAGTGACAAAATCGTTGGAGGAGGTATGCCAGGGTGAGAGTATCCCGTTACTTCAGAATGGAACCACTGTAGCACCCTTTTTAAAAGCATTATCAGTCTGCTTCCGGTCGATACTACCCGGAAGCCGGCTCTTATCATGCTCCGCAGTCTGTACACAATGCATGAGTAACTGATACTTCAGGATCAGGTTGAGTTTTGTTTCAGTCAGGGATCCATTGGTCACTCATCACACAGTTGCCAGATGCTCAAACATACTACATTGATTTCAGAACAACAACGGTTGTATTTATAAGTATCACAATAAAAGACAGTAGTGGGATCTAGCACATACGTTTCGTCTGATCTAGCACTTATCAGCTAGATGTACCTGCCTCCCTTTCCCACTAACATTCAGGCTCAGAATTGATCACTCTGAGCACCAGAGTATTGTCCACTAGGCCATTGCGTTGAGTAATAACATCGTAGTCATATTTATAACGAATAACTGTACTGCCTTCGATTTGTTGGATGGGCTTGAACTCTATAACTATCTGTCGCAGAATGTTTTGCTTCAACACTCCAAATTTAGTGAAGGCATACAGCCACCTCAGTAAAGTGTTCTACAGTAAACAGTGGGGTTAGATGCAGTTACCAGACTTCACCATTCTTCCTAGATTTCACGAACGATGAAATTTTAGACACAACCGCCAAGGAAGTGTGTTATAGTGGTGTCGCGAAAGAAAATACTTATTGTTCTCTGGTCGCCGGCCTTCTTTTTATTGTGTGACTACGTACAGGCCATGAAAACCTCACTCAGCCACTTGGTAGTCAGTGTTCGCATATATCCTATGTGTTTTACAATATCAGTACTCAAAACGGTTCCATAAAATTGAAGGGAGACTGCACTTGCAGTTTTCCTTGTTGGTGGAAGTTTCTGCAAAGTTTTGACCACTCACATATCTGTGTAAGTGATGGTGGTGATGCGGCTAATGATATTTCGAAGTACGAATCAAAAACCAGGCTGCCTCACTCCAGTTGCATTTGAAGCCATCATGCTACTAACTTTGCCCTGAAATCCAGGGTGTACAACGCCTCACGGTAGGTATTCCTGACGTTTTTAAGTTGAGGAGGTCTATCGACTCTGAGTATTTCATCAACATTGTCACCATAGGATAACTGTCATCCAGTGAACACATCATGCAATTAGTTCTGAAGTGAGAGGGCTTGTGTTTGGGTGTCAAGATGATCGCCATACACGGGAGATATTCACCTAGATAAACTATCTTTGGTGGCTAAGATATATCTCACCCAGCCCTCTTAGTGACTATAACTGTTCAGTTGCACTAAGACTGTTTAGAAGTAATGGAGAGGAGGCCAGTGCCTTACCTGAGACGGGGTGAAATTTAGTTGTGTCGGGTTAACAACTGTAATTGACTCATGACTCGTTACATGTGGTCAGATAAATCAGGCAACTCAGTTGCTCAAGATGATAATAGATATGGTTCAGAATCAGAACCAATGATGACAGCTCTGTAATTTTCGTCTGTCTTCTATTACTGAAAAGCAAAACGGAAGCAGTGCGTGATTCTTCGGATTGATCTTCCAGACTGTCTCTTTAGAAACCCACTTACGTTTTCATTACAGCTTTACTATCTTCAGTGAATACAATTCAAATGCACTATCCACCTTAGATTGCATTTATGCTTGAGATATTAACACAACTCATTGTAGCACGTTTCTTACCATCATAACAGAAGGATATTCTTGTGTTAATAATTTGACAAACAGGTGAGCCAATAGACTGCAAACCAATACAGCTTGTTTCGTTTAAGTTACTTGATGAAATGAAACGTATGACGTAATAGCTTACCGCTAACAATTTTAGTTCTTCAGGGTGTGCATACATCATTACACACTTAATGTAAGCAATGTGTATATTTGAAGAATGCAGGGAGATTTCAGGCATTAATTTCCATGCAAAATAGCATTATTCTACAAGAATCGTTATCACCTGGATTTGTTACGTATGACAGCAAGCAGAAGCCAAACGTTGATCCCAGAGATCAATGGTAAGAGAGAGTTAAGCATCCTAATGAATCGGTAAATGAATACAACTTATTTCATTTGTAGTATATTAAGTGGCTCAAACGCGATAACTACCTCTTCAAGAACCACAGCGTTATCCATTAGGCCATTGATACAGGATAGCCAACTTTTGTACAGCGGATATTCTCTGTTTTTACTGATACTGTTAATTTCATTCTACCTAGTGTCTGTCACTGGAATCCAGGACATTCATTTCTTCCTGACAGTATCGTGGCAGCCACATAGGAACTCATATATCAACAAGGGTTTAGCAATTCGATTAGTATAACAACGGAAAATTACAAGCATCAATAAGTAACCAGTTGTAAATGTTCGCACTTGATAGTTTAATTGTTCTAATCGTGAATTTTGTTGATTGTTCCGACGTCCAGTAAGTGTTGCCTGTGGTAAACTGTGTCATAAACATCTTTTTATTACTGGCAGAAATGGATGAATCAGCTTTCCTGGTGATATTATCTGCACCATGGATCATTAGGTTTTTGTGTTTTATTCTTCTCTAAACTACAGCACAGTACATTATGCTGATAATTTTAAGGCTGAACAATTTTCATGCAACTGAATGTCAGTAAATTTTTTTTTTCCAGATATCATCCTAACCGAAATCAAATTTGGTGAAGAAAAACATCATAATTTGCTGTAATATGTTTGTTTTAGTAAAGTTAATAATCATTTTGGAATAACTCTATTTACATTTACTTCGTTCTTCGTTGTCAATTACTGTCAGCATAGCACTACTGAGAATACGGAGCCTCGAGAGGGAATAACTCAATCAAGAGAAACATGTTTATTGATACAAATGCAATCAAATTGACTCATTGTGTATAATGTTAACACTATAAGTCTACAAGCGTCCACTAGAATCTATGAAGGTTATGTGAATTTAAGCAATACATCTCATAGCTTTACTCTCTAGCCCCGGAAATATAAAAATACTGTGAATATCATGGAAGGATTATTTTAGGTTGATGAAGCGAAGTTTAAGTCGACTTAACTAACACGACTTCTCCATTGTTTGAACAGTGTTGTCAAGCTTACGGGAAGTTATTTCATCAAATGCATAATACTACCTTCTGGTCCTCATTAGCTAAAATATTCTTTTAGGTCAGGTAAACTGAGATTCATTCACATGTATAAAAAGTGGACAGGAATTTGTGTATTGTTGTCAAACGCTACTTTGTAGTTCATCGCTGAATAATCAGACCGAAGAATTCTAACAACCACCTTATAAAATGAGTTCTGTCAGGCTGCATTCTAACAATAGTCACGTTATTCACTACTGTTAGCTATCTGATATAGTTAGATAAGTCATTTGGTAGTGCTTCTTCGCAATCCTCAGGAAGGCTGATAGGCAACCCAAACCGAAAGGATGTCACCTCTGAAATTTGGACCAGCGTAAACCAGTTTTGTAGTCAATGACACCACCTCTGACCTGTTTGGGCGAAGACTGACGTCCTGTACGACTTAATGAGATGTAGTGATTTGTTGCTGTACAGCAACCAACTTCACATTCTCTAGTTCTGAATGCTGACTAAAGAATTCAACGAGGAGAGTGGACTACTGAAGGTATACTCCGGAATATCAGTAAACCTATGGAGGGAAACTGTTACACAAAGGGTGTTTTGATCACTATTTTCCAACTGCAAACATACCATGCAAATGATCTTAGCTTACAACTGATTCATCAAATACATTCAGGGAAGATACATCACTCCATATAACCACAACGTCAGCATAGTATGGATCATATCACAATAACACGAACTGATAGAATCAATGATTGGTCCTACCACGCGTTTTAACGATTATAAGATAAATGTTGTGGGCACGATTGTGAATCCTAGACCTTTTGTTAACACGATACATCAGTACTTCTGCTGAAAGCCTCCGGACTTGTTCAGTAACAAGGAATTCTGCATACAGGATCATTCTATGAGTAAGTACATCAAGAAATAATATTTAGCTGTTCAGATTACATGAGTGGAGTTAGTCTTCTACCAACACTATGAGATTTCAACATTTTAGAACTTATACGCACAGATCAACCTTTGATGAATTCGAAACGAGCCAGTACAAGATTGGGAAGAGGATAAAATGCATCCGTTTTATTTTAATGATGTCATATCAATTGCTTACAACTCCCAGAATATCGAAATATATAATTTTACTGAGAATTTAGCATACTTTATTTCACTGAAAGGAAATAGTATATCAGTCAGTGTAGAAGATAGACAGAAATAGACACACAGTAACACCTAATTATAACGGCAAATTCAAGGAAGACTAATAAGGATATTAAATTATCAAAATTATATGTACAATCCGATAGAAGTCTTTCGAATAAAATGAACGACAGTAGTAGTAATCTAAATATGGGGATTTAGCGTCATAAGATTACACAAGTAAGTCGTACTACGAACAGATTACTTACTGAACAAAAAATGCCAAATAGTGTGACTTAAGCCCAGCTAACTGAAAACGTTTGACATGAAGCAAGTTAACTGGAGAGAAGTTGTCATAAATAAATATAAAGGAATCAACATCTAGATTTAATAAAGGATGATGCAATCACACAACAGCCAAGAATAGGATACCAAGATAGACAGAGGTTCACAACTATTTCTTCTAGGATATATAAATCAGGTTTGAGGCTTTTGATGGCTATTACCTCACCAAATTATGGGAGAATCGAGCTTGTTTGTTTGTTTGTTGTCTTGAAGAGACTGAAGACGTCTGCTTGATTTCTAGTGTCAACTAGATGCCAAGGAATTGCGCTGGTCTGAATGTTAATTCTCTCAGTTGTAGGCTCAACGTAGTATGTCCAGAAAATTTAAGATAAGCTCTTTTTGCTGTTCTTCTAATATATCTGCTTCGATGGCTACATGTTAACTGATATAAACAGTTGGAGGTATCATAGAAAGGGTACCTATCGACTTCTCATTGGACTAAAGGGTACACAGGAATTAAACTGAATGCAGGAAAATCTCCAGTTTCCACAACTGAATTGAATGAATACAGATTTCTTTCTGACTGAAACCTACCACGTTCTTCTGCCTTTTGTATACCCTGAAATGGTTAAAAATACTTGTGGATATTTGTTTTCTCGTAGCCATCTTTAAATTGTTTTCAACCCTTCTTCGACTTTATCAAAGAATCACATCATTTTGCCCCTGTGAAATAAAATTTTATTTAATCCTGGTTAGTTGTCAATGACAGGAAAGCTATTGAAGTTCAGTTAGGTTGCATTCTGTGTGCTATTGTAATAAATAGATCTACTATGTTTGTCAACATCCAGAAAACTGAACTGGTGAAGAATATTTGCAACTCATCTGGATGGTTTTGATTGTATTGTATCCTATAATCTGGGTTGTTCAATCGTGAAGCTGTAGTCATAGAATTCCTAGAAGCTTGGCATTCACGTCAGTCAGTCAGCAATCAATGGAGAGATGTGTAAACACACACCCGATCTACCAACTAGTGAGAAAAATGAATAATGACAGAAAGGTCAGAGGTCAAGTGGAGGAACAGTCTGCAGGAAAATCTGTGCCATCAGTGACACAACAATCAAAGGAAACAACTAACCACAAACCAGTTCATCAGGGCAAGTTACTGAATCACTGACGCAGACATATTGACAGCTCACTTCATTCTGAAGTCAGCGCTAATGATGTCGTCCAGAAAGACGATGAAAGCTGCATTATTAAACAACCCAGCTCAGGGAACACAATGCAACTAAAAGAAAACTGGACTCTCCATCATAGTCATCCATTTAGTTCGGATGGTGAGTAAAGTTAATATGGTTGACAAGTATATTCTCATTTCCAAAGAGTCTTTAACTACTCTGCCTTCTATTTGCAACTGTTTAAACCAGATGACTTTAGAATAGTCACTGAATGGAGAATTACAGATTTCTAGTAGACCTAATCATGGGTTCTTTCTGAAAAATCTAAAACTCAGTAGTTGCGTAAAATGAAGAATAGATGATTTACTTAACACACAGACGTATTATTTTAGACCAGCAATAATGACTAGTGAAAATAAATAAGCTAAATTGTCAGATGTGACTTTCACTGAGTTATCAAACTGCTACTGAATACATCTCACCTGAAAACAAATTAGTAGTGTGTAGGTTTTTCAAAATATTCATCTCTAGTAAGTATTAGAAGTAAACCAATGCAAGCGATGGTAGAAACGTTGGAAGACTGAAAACAGCTTGGGAAATTAAATGTAAAAAAATGAAGTGAACCAACAAAAAAGTGTGTAATGGTTGTATCAAGTACAGTACTATAACAGTGTTAGGCTTTAACCTGATTGAGAGGCTTTCAGAGTTCTAAATGAACTCGCCTACAAAACCAGAAGGAGTACTTTAGATGCTACGGTTGCTTAACATCATAATATCATTGACGGTCTGGACAAAAATGCTAAGTACGTTAGATCAACGCCTTCTTAGATTATACCTTTGGCTTGGATTCTGTCCCTAGACCCCTTTTACTAAACAGACTTGCCGGAATTAACATTGAGTCCCGGATTGCAAACCGGCTTCATACCTTACCGTGAGAAGACAGTGCAAAGGAAAATTGATCTGAAAATCCCTCCCGATCACCCTTATTTGATTGTATTGACATTTATTTTAACATTTTCACCCTCGTTATGGATGGCGTACCTTTGACCCTCGCCGGTGTAATGTTATTTGCTTGTTTAACTGTCTTATTTGGCCTTTCACTTGGTATTTGCCTTTGTATGTTTGAGACTTATTATGAATGCTTCACTTTCCTATTATGTGATGCTGGACTGTTGACAAGGTGATGTTGTTTTACTGCGCCCGACATTTTGCTTTGGTTCAACTTACGGTTGTGCAGTGGTTTGACTGTTTGCCTTTTGACTGTCTACTGGGAACGTTTGTTTGTTGATTTGATTCCTGTAGGCAGAGTTTTGATCCCTTTTGTCGGGAATATTCCTATTGACCGACAGGTACTTAACAGTTGTATTTATTTAACCAGTTTTTACCGTGTAGTACGTATTTGCACCCGAGAACGTTTTGGACTGTATAGTTATCCAACGGCACTGTTGAGGTATTTTTGTAATTTTGACATAACTTATTGTTGCTTTGATGGTACCACAGATTTTGTTACGAATCTACTATTGAATTACCACAAACCGTGTTTTGATATTTTGATTCAACCTTTGACTGTGCGTCACTCGCGGAAGTTAGGGAGCTATACAGTAGAACGCAGGAACTAGTCAGGTTCACGTCAGTTGGCACCGCCTAGTTATTTCCCGCGTTCAGGCCAAGATTATTGGATTCTGGCCGCTGCACCTACCCACAAGTCCTGTTTGAATGAATGTAGAAAAGATAGATTACTGCACACACACTAACAAGCAGCTGTGTAGTTGCAGAGTCACAGTGGTGACTCAGAAAGAAGTACGCTTTACACTGACTTATTGTTACAAAATCGTTGGACTGGAAGGCGGGATACCAGCCTGATAACTTCAAATGTTGTTTTCATTCAAATAAAATGAAGATGGAGTAAAGCAAATACTACCTGAAAAATTCACTACCTACTTTCAATTTTGAATACTGTTGTAGTGTCACATACATCTCCGAAATCACTAGCCCAGGGTTTGACAAGACTCGACATTGGTGCTGACCTTCATAGTTTTATCGGGCTCACTAAGCTGAGGGCATGGGGTCAAGCATCCACGCGATTTAGCATGCTGTCGTGTTACGTTGCGTTACTCGTGACTGACCTTCTGGCCAGCTTGTCGGAACACATCGGTTCTCGGCCCTATCTAGTAATTGTACTATTCCATACGACTACGCTACTGAATTCTTCCTTAGTCTTGTATTCGTGGGCATACAACAAGCACGAGTAATTGATGATTGGCCTCTATGTCTGTAAGTTCGCATAAGGACAATTCGTAAAATACTGACCTAGTGCTCTGTCAGTAGAAACTGACCATAACTGCAGAATACGTGGCATCGTGTTCGATGATTTCTTTGTCAGGGAAAAGGTCAAAAATATGACACCTAGGTTTTCGAAGTAAAAGGATTCATATTATCTGAAGATAGGCAGTTTTGATGTCGGCACTGAATACTACTCCTGTTCTTCTTCCTGAAGTTTCACGTATCAACCAACACGTATTGACAAATTGTTACCCGTCTTCAATAAACTCAAAATAAATTGATCACCAATGTGCATGAGGTGAAACAGCTGAAATTAAGTAAACCAATGACCAATTTAAACGTAGCGCTACTGAGAACGCCATCAGTTTAGTTGCCGCATAAATATAAATATGTTGACGGAAGTCAACAATTATCCAATTTGTCAACTCAGTTTCCCTTGGGAACAGTGGAATTCAAATTAGACAACGCCAAAATGATAACGTCCATTGCTGTAACTGTACTTCTCAAGATTGTCAGTTCATATCTCGCCAAAGGAAAAGTGATTAGATTTTTCAACGATGATCAGGATCTTTATACGCACGAAACTTATTGCTGCGGACTTGGTAGTCCTAATCAACCTATGTCTCACGACATCTCTTCAGTTAAATGGGTACATTTAAATACAAATTAAAGGCACTGCCATAGGCTATCTAGTTTGTGGACTGACCACTGAACCTGCGGTGCAGAGACAAGAAACAATAGTCATTCCAATAATCATACGAAAATATGGATTCGCTGCATCGATGACAATTTCAAAATTATCAAAAAAGGTGAATTAAGCGTTCCATAACATCAACCAAACCTATGAAGGCACTGAATTCACGAAGGAGGAAGAGGAAAATGGATAAATCGTGCTACTAGATGGGCTCATCGGGAGAATACATGATCAAGCCTTACTTGCTCACATGTGCGGGCAAGTAACGCACGCAGATCATGTTTCAAACTACGACAGAAATAACCCACCATTTCATGGGAAAAGTTGTGTAAAATCACTATTCTCACGTGCCGTAGCACAACGCAGCACTCGGCAACTAAAAAAATTAGTAGGAGAACAACTTTACAAAATTTTCAGAGCCGGTAGCTATCTAATCGACCCCATTAAAAAAGGCTTATCAACGCAGCACGCACTGGAACAATTACCTCTGCCTACGGAACGAATCAATTAACCGTAGCTCAAAAATGCCTCAAAAACTGTCAATCAATTACTCTAGCCATTTGGCAGTGGCGTGACACGTAAACTATTTACATCGCTGCAGAACATACTATGGAAGCCAAAGAATCTATTACCCAAGGAAGATAAGACGAATGTAGGCTACGAAATCAGTCGCAATGACTTTTAGCATCGAAATGTTGGTCAACCCAGTTGTTGAGTAATCCAAGGAATCTACAAGCAACGAAGCGCAGTTGAACGACCTTCAGGTATCTGGTCAGGGTTCTAGACTCTATATCACACAGAGTTCTGCCATCGTCATCTAGACTGAAAAACTCTAGGTGATTATCAATTCCACACTGAGTTCAGCGGGACATTCAGAACTTGGTGATCATCATCGTTGTCCGGCAACTTGCTGACTTCAGCAGTATGTTGCCCCTATTACTTATTTACAACTTTTCACTATCTCAGGCCGTTCATTTCTTTTCGTTGACGAAACTATGCATGCTTTTACAGCTGCAGATAGTGAAAATGTGTGGGTAACCCTTGGAATGCTTGAGGAGCAAGTTAAAAATGAGGGATGAGAATTCACCAAGGATAAGCGTCAGACAGTATTGCATCCATTCCACATCCACGGAGTGTTCAACTCTGTTTGGGTTACGCCCTCCCAGCCCATTCGCTGAAGTGAAATTACCCTTTATCTTGGTTGAAAGCTGAGATAATAGCTCACTTTACGCTTAAGCCACCGCCAAAGCCATTGTAGGAATACATTTCTTGCGGAACTATTCACTCAAACCCCACTGGTCTTTCTCAAGCTTCATACGATTTAGGTGTGACTTTGCCTAGAAGTTCATAACGTTGTTGCAGCGTCTGACCCAGTTAGCAAGGTGATCGCCGGAAGGAAGGTTCAGTGGCAATTCAAAGAGTGATGCACTGACGCACTGCGGCCTGTGAGAAGACTGATTAAACTACCACAGCCCATTCACTATTAGGTACATCAGGGTGCTTGATGACGTTACAGTGCCTAACGATTTCCAGCTCAAGTCACTGGAACAAAATGATGTCACTTAGTTGTACTTAGAGAGCAATAAGTTCTGCGCCGAGGTCTACAGAACCTGCCTGTGTGGACGGATTCCATATACGTAGTCACCTAGGGAGCGATCCCACTTCTGCTCTCCATAAACTACTTTTTTGTGGGTTCTCTTCGTCTATACTTTTATTTTCAGACAAAGTCAAGGTATGGTGCATGACAGACGATATTGGTGATCCAGAACCACTTCAAAATGATCAATAAGAACTTCAATCTTGGGATACAAGAAACGGTCTAAGGATTGAAATGGCGAAGTGTGAATTAAGGCACCTTCAGACTCCTAGTCAGTAGAGTTAACTACATCACAACGAGCAACAGCACTCCACAGGCAACTGAAAGGAAAGATTTTAGACCAGGTTTACCCACAATACAAGACGCCCGCATAAATTGCAAAGGAAGGTTTTGCCAAACACTTCATTTAGACGCTTTTTCAAGCCCTCACATTCCGAATTCTTCTTCATGGTTTCGAAACCTCCGTCAAAGAACACCCATCCTAGCCACAGAAAGTACAGTGAAGGGCACTGAAGTGGGCTGTTGGATTTTGGAGTGAATCTGATTCCAAGCGACTCCCAAAACTTCAACTACTCATCCCTGATTCCAGTGGGGAAGCGTGTTAACCGATAAAGTTGTATACGATTGTTTATCAGATGAAACACATCAATACGCAACTGCCACCACTCTCATCAGAGAATTGACACCAGGACTATAGCCATCTTCTTTTCAATGAAAGAATAGGCCCTATGAAATAGTTTACCACGGGGGATAGCATTAGCTCATCCAGCTGGATTAGCATGTTGACACACACCGGTTACAACTGTTCTCTACAGGAACTCCCTGGTCCAACTAACCCATAGCAAAGCTTACGTGTCACCACCTGACGACTGTCTAATTTTCGAGTTTTCAGGGACACTTAATATTGCCTTACACAGACCAGCTATTTCTTCCACTTTCAAACACAGTGGTCTTTCGTCTATTACTTATGACTTGATTTCTGCCACGTTTCACAATTTCAGGGTCCTTTTTAGACAGAGGTTGTGAAGAAACCGTCAATATTCCTGGCAGCTGATCAACTTCTATACATACTTGGTCAACAAAATGCAAAGAAGAAATACTCACAAACAACTTTCCACGTCTAATATTATCCAATATCCAATATTGATGGTGCGACCGTAGAAAACTGGTAGTTTTTGATCTCTCGCGTCTAGTTCTTAGGGCTTGGTTCGAGTTGTTCCGTTCACTCCTCTGCTTTCTTGCTTTTAGCTTCGGTGTGGTGGATGTTTTGTGGGTTAGTAAGTTGTAATTTGTAGAGTGACTGGGGAGCTACGGGTTGTTGGGAAGTTTAGGGAACCGCCGTGACTCCAGTCTGTGTAGGTACCTGAAAGAGAATAGTAAGGTAGTGGTAAAGGAATGAAGAGAAAACAAAAAAAGAGAAGAAAAAAGGACATAGGGAGGAGAAAAGGGAAGGAGAAGAAGGAGGGGTGAAAAGAGAAATGAGAACGAAAGAAAGGTACCTGAGAATTGCACGAATGGTCGCGTGGCTTTGATTCCTACAGAAGAATTAGTAGGTAATGTGGGTGTATTAGGAGGGAGATATTGAGTGGTAGTTAGGAAGGAGTTGGGGGATACTGAGGTTGGTGACTACCTGAGTACGTCCTTGGTAGTCCATGCGAGGTGATATAACTGTCTAATCGCTTTTTGAATGAGTCGACTGAGGGAGCTATAACGATGTGTCATGGTAAAACATTCCGTAAAGCACATACTCTTAGGGAGAAAAATTTGGATCTAAGTATGGTGTTGGCTCTCTGGTGTGCTATCTTAATGGGGTTTCCTCATGAAGATCGTTGAGTTGCAGGCAAAATTGAATTGTTTGCATGGTCTGCCTGATGGGCGATCTTGTATGCCATGATAAAGTCACCCCTGTTTCTGCGATAACCCAAGGTAAATAGGCTTAGGTGTTTAAGTCTTTCAGGATACGTCTTTCCCCTTGGCCCCACAACGGATTTTGTTGCAGTTCTTTGTATTCTTTCAAGGAGATTAGAGTCTCTGACGACGAATTAACATCAGACACGAGGAATTTAGCCCTGGAACGTAGACACCAGGGTTCAAAAAATATTAGTTTGTTGTGAACCACACTGAGTTATTGAATATTGGACATTGGCCTTCATTTCAGCGGCACGTTTGGTTTCTGGCTTCTTCGGGTCACTAACAGCTTAGACCATTGGGATGTGTGTGAGCAAAGCAAGTTATGGGGAATTGTTTCAAAAGAATGATAGTATCAATACCTGTAAAAGATAGACCGTTCTCTTTGGGAAGCGAAAAAGCCAACAACCTCGAGTTCAAAGTTCAGACGATGGATGAGAAATTTTCTTACAGTCCATTTCTCTCCCCTCGTTCCAGGTCCAACAAGCATGAAGTATCTGATGTCCCGCGGAACCGCCTGCCTTCGCTAGAAAGTTGCATGATTCCTAGTTCTCACTCAACTCAAGCCACCCGTCTTCCTACAACCATCGAAATGTGTCTTTCACATAATTCCAAAGGAGTAAACTCAAACGCATTTAGAGTCATAAAAGAACCTAGCCAGCCATCTCAACCTCGACATTTTGTAGCGCTTTTTGACTACAGTGCGAGAACTGAAGAGGAAACATCCCTTTGTAGAAGGGATGAGGTCTTAGTTCTAGCTGATACGTAAGTCCTTCCTTTTTTACTGTTTTTTTCACTATGATCTCCCACTGTCTATGACATATTAACTACCGTGTGCTTAAGTCATTGCAATCTCATAACGGGCGTAAGTCGTCAGAAAGTATTTTATGAGCGTGCTACAAGATCTTGCTAAGTTTCATAGTAAACTGGAATACTGCCAAATAGGCTTCTAAATCAAAGTACCATTGTGGTGTTTCTATTACAAACCTCATAACAGCCTTTTCCAGTTATCCATAACTTTTGTATTGTCGTTTGTCATGTACGTTCGTTGTGTAAATTTTATCGTTCACATATGAATGAACATGCGTACCAAGTCTATTCGGACGATTGAACTCAGTAACCCGTTTTTATTTTTGCAGCAGTATTGACTTGCGTTTCCTAATCAATTAAACTAGATGACTGATTAAATCAAGCATACGTCATAATGAGGTGTTTACACTGATAACTATTGTCCTGTGTTAGCTTTTAATTTCGTTCTTTGACCTCTTATGTTTCTGGACAAACAAATACTACAATCAGTTGTTAAATAAATGTCAGAGGTTTCAGCTGCATTTTTTTCGAAATTCATGTGTTTCAGGACACTTAAAACACTGGTTAAAGACATCCAGAAACACGAAGTCAACCTACAACCTCCCACACAGGTGCATCGGTTCAAGTGACCACACTTCACAGTAGTAAACAAAGAAAAATTGGAAAAAAGGGTAGTTTCTAATTAAATAAAGTAATGTGAGGAAATAATTAATTCGAAGATATGGGTTAGTCAAAATATACAAGCTTTAGAGTGAATACAATCACCCCATTGTGACTGATTTTCAGCTATTTCACCAAGAATCTCCAACCACTGATTTGCGTCGTCTCAAAGACCCCAGCCGGATAGTCTACATAATTCAAAACATAGGTCAGGGACTTCATGGACTGGTGCCACCATTTCGTGTAGCTACCCTGGAACCTCTTCCAACTTAATCCAGCTTTCCCTAGCATAGTACTTCAAGGCAGCTGGTGCCTCGGCATGCGTAATACTTGTCCAAACCATATCGAAAAGTCAAAATCTCGGCTACCTTGCACAAATTCTTACAGTAAGCGATGAGCGATGTTACAATTCGTGACATCGGTCAAAAGTCATCTCCCTAAACTAATGAGCCACAACAAGCCAACTCAATTGATGAAGGTTTACAACTTCATCAGTTGACTTGCCTATCATTCCTTAGTGCCCTTCGCGCGACCTCAACATTTCTCTTAAGGTGATCCCACCTAATGTGAGCAACGCTACGAAGACACCGATCAAAACCCTGCAACCACTTCATGTCTTGCTTTCAATGGCCATGACTTACATCTGTATAACAGGTCAGAAGAGATTGCAACGCAGCATACTCGTCTTTCGATAGATAGTCGAATATGTCGTCAGCTGGGATCAGGGATTTTGTCAGTAACCAGCTCGTTCGGGCTGATGCAACTGAAGTAAATGAAGTGGTTTAAAAACTACCACTTCGTTCCTGGGAGTAGTTGCTCACCACTTCTGATGCATCATTTTACGTATAAAAGGCGCGAAACGCATGCCAGTCAAACATATCTAGATATCTGCCCAGTGCGTTCAGAAGACCCTGTATTTTGTTGGCGTCCTCATCTAGTAGGACAATATCTGTTTACTCTACGTAAACCAGATGCCCTCCGGGGAGTAGATCGCTCTTTGTGAAGTCTGAAGTATTTAAGGTTACGTCTATTAGTATGTCTCTGATGAAGTTAAACAGGAACGGTGACAGTAGGGATCTCTGACGGACACCACTAGTTGCCGTCAATTCTGATGACAACTCTGCATAAGCCGTAAAACTGCTGCTTGGGTTCAAGTAGGGAGCTTTGATGAACATTATATACTTACCCGGTATTCCCTTCAGTCAGACACACTGACACAACACTCCACGGTCGGCAGAGTCTGATGTCGCCTTCAGGTCATAGAATATGGCTTGTTAACCGTTGTCAGGTATGCATGTGCTCCAGAACCTGTCGGAGGGTGAAAATCTGATCGATGCATCCTCTTCCAGGCCTGAAACCTACCTGGTTTTTTCAAGCTCTAGTTAGGCGTGGGATAACTGGATCCTAGGATCTTGAATACAATATTAGACAAATTCATCTATGGTTGTCACAAAAAGACCTGCTCTCCCTTCTTATAGGCAGATGATCAGTGAAGTAGACTAGTTTGACAGGACTACCTTTGGTTCCCGTACGCCACCTAGTGCCTCAGTCACTTTAACCAACAATTTCCTACGTCGATCCTTGAAAACGCCGGGTGGCCAATTTTCAGGTCCTACTGCTTTGCATCGTTTCAAGTTCAGCAGTCTTTTCAACTTCCAGAAGATTTAGACGTACGACCTATACAAGCCATCCAGCTGGATGGTGGATAACAAGCGTTGCCGAAGGCCAGTTGAACTGCGCTTCAAGGTGTTCTGGCCCCTCTGTCCTGGGAGGTCATCAACATCCCTTCCCTTTCATTGATGGCTTTACTAACAGTCGTTTTCTTCTCATCGGTCTCCTTATTAAGCTAAAATAATTGTTGGGTTACCCAACTCTGGTATCTTCTCCATCTTTCCCACCGCCCACCACTGCTTGTGATCATTGCGAAGACTCTTAATCAACTTACGTTTCAGTAACTTTCGATTTTTGTTGTGGTCAGAGCTAGCTGAAATTAGTCTTCTCACATCAATCAGTTCGGATGACGTTGCGAAAATCCAATGACGTTTGCTTACCTTGGAGTGCAGGTTAACAACTGTCTTTACCAGTTTCTACAGCAGACTTAATATAACCCTAGGTTTCCTTAGGATGAGCATTGCTGTCACGTTCAAATACATACTTAACTGTCGTAAGACAGAATTGTCCAATTTCTACATTCCCTTTTAACTTTGCCATTGGTGACAATTTTGCAACAGCTCTGAATAAAATGCATGATGGTGGTGTAGATCTGTTACTCGGAGACAGGTTATTCAACGTTAAACATTCGGACGATATCGTCTTACTGTGCAATAGCACACAGGCTACTCAAATCGCGCCTAATCAGTGGCGATTAGTGTCCTTAAGTATGGTATGTGCTTTGCACCATCGAATCGCAAAGTACTTTTCCAAGATTGGTAGGAACCTAGGCTCTCGCTCACTCCTGGTAGTGAGCCGTTGGAAATAGTCGAAAAGCTTGCGTATTTTGGTAGTTGTATGAGTATTGGTGGAGGTATATAAGAAAATTTCTAATTGCATATCGGAAGCCAGAGTAGCATACGGTAATCTGAACCACCTATTTGACGCCGTCGTAACATTAGTCTGACCGTGAGAGGTCGGGTTTACAACGCTTCGGTGCGAGACCTGGCCTCTCCCAGCTGAAGATGGGCGACTATCCTGTGTGTTTTACCATCATTGTCTCCGTAGGATTGCTGCTATCTGCTGGTATCAACACCATGTAAGTAATTCTGAGGTACGATATCGCTTTTGGACATGGATATCGTCATTCTGTAAGTGAAGTCATCTGAAAACACCATCTTCCATGGCTTCGACAATTGGTACACATGTCTTCCCAGCGGCTTCCGTACCGTTTATTATTCACTAGCCCTGGGACTGAACGGGAAAAATGGATAGGTGGTCAGTGTGTGGTGTGGCACCTTTAGATAAAGTATGTTTGTATCGGATTAGCATCTGTTGGCGCATCACGACTCTCTCTGTGGGGTCCGAGAAATCATGCAACTCAGTGGCTTGGGACTTAATCAGACATGGCTCGAAATATAAACCAGTGGGGATCTTGCCGTAGCTTCCTTCCATCTTCTGCTGCTGAAAAGTAATGAATGTATCTTATTGGACTATCTTCCCTTCCACTTCCCTTCGCTTTATGTTTTCAAAATAGTGTTATATTATTTTCTGCTGCGCATTTCTTGGTGCCCTTGCTGTACCATGTTTGTGTTCTGTTAATAATTATATTATCTCCTCCCAAAGTACGTACCTGACGAAGTTGTATCATTAGTTTTTTGATGTCATTTTGTGTGGCACTTAGCTTGTAATGGAAGCAAATGAATTGCTTTATGTATATATATGTTATTTTTGCTGAGTTCTTGCAAAGGTTACGAATTTCTGGATAGTTGATCCGACCAGTGTAGTACACCATCTTCTGTATGACCATTAAAATTCTCAACGAAATTCATACTCGTATACCATTAAATAGACGCACATGAACATTATATCACTACACATATAATCAAAGAGCATATTTTTCATACATATACTTCACTCAAAGCCAATTAGCGTATAATTAAGTCATAACATAACTGTGTTTATTTACTACGCTTAAAACTTCTATAATTTGATTCTTTAAGCTACACCAAACTATCAAAGCCTATTTTTGTTACTGAAGTTGTTCCTTTTAATCCTCTTCAGAGATACCGACTGGTGGCTCATACAAAACTTAAGTTCCGGTAGAAAAGGTTATGTACCAAGTTCATTTATTGCCCGCAAAGGATCAGTCGAAGCTGAAGAGTAAGTCCCCTGGTTGATATGCTTTTTATTTTATCATGTATAGTATTTCAATGACACTGTGTTCAGTGTTTCCCCTAAATTCTACCCACACAGTGTAATACTTACTAGAGCTATAACATATATTTGTCTTCACAGTGATGACAACATAATAACTACTAGTCTCTATCATCTCGTTATGTTTACGAATAAGTGTACACATATGATAATCACTACTACTCAATCGAGATTCTTATCAACACCAGTTGAATCGAATCGAAATATATACAGCAACCTTGTGGCCATTCGTGCAACAGGCAATGAGCCACACCTATTGTGTGAGGGCTAATGATACTATCTGGCTGCCCATACTTCAGTAGGTGAAGTGCGGCTCGCACCAGTGACCCATCGGTGAAAAGTCATCTCCCTAAACCAATGAGCCACAGTTTCACATCAGTATCACTGACCGGCAGTGTGAAAGTTGAACACCTGAATGAGTAGTCTACGTCGCATTATTTTTTTAAACTACTCTTGCCGCATTGTGACAAGTAGCGTTTAAATTTCCCTCAGCTATATGAATTAAAGCAAATCTTCTTGTGTATCATTAGTTTCCTTTACTCCGTATATCAACGTTTAGAAACTTTATCTTTTCAACCAAAACAATTTGTCGTCTGAAGTAAGTGTTGTTACCATTTAGTAAGCAGTAGTAACCTATCTCACTGATTACAGTAGGTGACTCTTGATCAGTGATTCCCCTGTGCAAACCGGGCTCTATCTATCGGAGTGTAAATGATGAGATAATTTCGTTAACCTATGTACTGGATGTGGCCCGTTCTGTGGCATACACAGCTGTATATAGTATCCAAGCTGTATGAACCACCAAGGAAGACGTTTAAGAAATATGTATTTGTAAATATGACTTAGCCACCATACTACCTTACATTCCAAGTCTAACTTTATTTGTATGTTTAAGATTCATACTTATCACACCTAACGACAACCAACCATAATTGTCTCAACAGTCAATGCGTAATGATTCATTTCAGCCTGGAAGATTTATCGTCTTATTTCCTATACAAGTTCGAACACCTAGGTTCCGTCAAATTACCACACTTTTCTATGCTACAGAAAGACAAAGTGATCTGATGCAATAATATTAAAATCAGGAAGTATATAAGGGTCAAGTTGTTCTTTAATCATCAGTCCTTAGTATCTCATTGACCTCAGCCGGGTAGTCTACACCTCTTTCAAATCGAGCCAGCTGTCACCAACCAAAAAATGTAACTCAACCTGGTACGTAATTATATGCTAAGTCATGAGTCCTATTTGCTGTGCAAAGGCTTATGATACTAACCGACTCCTGGAGCGTGACTAAGTCAAGCAGAATTAGAACCTAGCACTCTACTTAAAAGTTGAAGGTTTAAACCAATGGATTATTATCATGCCCTTGTCAAGCTACATTTTAGTTTCTCCTCAACTGGTTCCATTCCAGCTAAGGTTGTTTGTCAAAAAAGACATATGTTTTGTCTAAGATACCTCAGTGAGTGCAAGTTCACAACTTCATCCGTTGACTCACCTTCTTTGCCTAGTAGTCCACGCTGCTCAGTCTGCGGTCCCATCACACTTGGGAATTGCTACGAAGACACCTATGATTAAATATCTACAGACTCTTTGTGTCTTTTACTTTCAATGACCATGTTTCGCACCAGTACAATGAGACATTATGTAGTATGCTCAACCTGTGATATGTGATCAGATATCTCACCAGCACCATAAGTTGCGAAATTTGGCAAATTCTAAGCAAGTCTTTTACATCTGAACTGGGATTTTGTCAGTAACCAATCCACCTCAGTGGTGATGCAGCTGTTCTAATTGAAGTAGCCAGAGCCCTCACCAACTTCATTCCATAAAATAGGAGACTACGTTTACCATTCCCGAGGCATAATCGTACACTTACCAGGTACCAGTTTCACACTGAAGGTACTCAGATTTTTTTCTCAAGATGTTCAAAAACCAGTGTATTCACCCATCTGGACTATGTTTTTTTTATGAATTGACTAGATACCCTCCGAGAGGTGAACAGTTTCTCTAAAATTCAGAAGTGCTTAGGGTTACATCCAGCAACACATCTGTAACAAAGCTAAAACGCATTGCGCTGATGGATGTTTTTGGCTGTCTCCATGTTATATTGTTACTTTAACTACCAACTCTCCGTTTCCAATATTCCTCCAGCTGATATCAGTCCATAATGAACACCAAATTGGAAAAGCTCTCCATTAGCCCATAAATGCTTGCGTGAGTTCCAGTAAGGACTCTTAATAAAGATAATATAGTTTCTCAGTGTTCAAATACCAAAAGAGTTCTCAATCGACATAGTCGAATACCACATCTAGGTCAAGAAAAATGATAGCTGTTGTTGTAAAACCTGTAGATGGATGGAAATCTGACCAGTGCACTCTATTCCTAGTCTGAAACCTTACTGACCTTTTAGATTTGTTGTACTCCAGCTCCACTTGGGTATCAGATGACTATAGACTGCATGATCTTAGACATTATTTTAATCAAACGGGTTCTTAAAAGACTTCGTTCTTATAAACCATACTGAATAACGACCCAGAGCAGCTTGAAGGAATCATTTCTAGTAGCTTGGTTTGTCCAGCGTCTCATCTGCTCAAACCAGTTGTTCTTGACCACCATCCTAACGACGACTGTAGGATAGCCGTTAGGTCCCATCGATCCCCCCTATCCCAGTTTTGGAAAAGCCTTTCCAACTTCTATGAGAATTGTGTAGCCATTCACTGAGACTTGGTATCATCAGTGGCAAAAAAATGCTCGAAGTCACTGGTAACGAGTTATTAAAGGGAGTGGAGTATATAATAATCAAATTTGCAAGTTATGGGAAAAGAAATGTTTTGTAGTTCACGTTATATATAACGATACAATGCTCTGGCGTGATACAATTAACAATAGAACGATGGCTTCTCAATTCGATATTCCGAATCGAGAAACCGAAAAAAACGATGGGACTGGAAGTATATTTACTTCAATCGAATAATAATCTCATTGCTGAAAATTCAGTCGCTTATATAAATAAATATCTTTATTCTCAAGTTATGAATTTAACATATCCTTGGTCAGGGAAAACAAAATAGTACATTAAAAATGTAAAACAAACCAATCAGTGTTTTGTATTCTCACCCGCCGTAAAAATAAGTGACATTGCATGGCGCGAAAATAAGGTGTAAATTAAAAAAAATCATAAAAAGCCTGAAGTTTAATACACTACTCAAACCACCATTCTAAGTCCACATTCTTGTTAGCTCTCTTCTGTTCACCACTACATCCAAAAGTTACGTCAAAAGTATCAGTAACCTAGTACCTGTATTCTTGTCACTTCGTCTTCCTCTGACAAACATCTCATCTGTCAGACATTGGGAACCAATGTATAATCTCGCACAAAAGTGCGAGAAAGAAGTACATAAATGGAGAATGATATCAAAGTAGACAAAAGTGTACGAGAAGAGAAAGAATGGGAGAATGAAGCTTAATGACAGTATTCCAATTTTCGAAAAAGTCAAAGAATGGATGCATCTGAAGTCAGGTCAGGTCCGGGTATAGCAACGAGAAAATACAACTTTCAAAGAACAGCTGGTTCACATTCCACAAGAGGAGGCTCTCATCCCCCAGTGGCCTAGTGGATAGCGCTTTGGCGTTTGAAGCGACGGGTACTGGGTTCGAGTCTCAGTGGAAATAACATCACTCATTGGGGTTCAGGTACATCCAGCCGACGATTCTCAAATGGGATGAAACGTGCGTCCTGGATTCCACTGCCAGTCACCTAACAGAATACAACACCATGAGTAACTGGGCCGTACCGAGGCATCCATATTCGGAACCCATCCGCCAACTGAGGTCGAGCAATTCTACCCAGCATAGCAACGGGAGATTACAAGCATCAAACAACTAAGGTTAATGAAATCGTTCAAACTTTCAAGAATAGGGAGTGAATGCATCTTTCCCACTGACTCATATCATTCGCCCCATTGAAATCGAAATCCACTCAGCAACCAAGCAACAAGGCACATCTATTGTTGTCCATACCTGAGTAATTGGAGTGGTGTTTGAGCCCATAATCCGTTAGTTGGAAGTCATCTCCTTAAACCGATGATCCACAATCCCATGATATATGTATGTGTAATCTTTTCACCTATATTCCCCTTGTAGATGGTTCATGCCTAAATTATCTCGTAAAGACTCGGAAAGGTTATTATTGCTTGAAGGTAATTCACAAGGTGTATTCTTAGTACGTGAGAGCGAGACTAGTCAAGGTTAGTCAGTTCTATATATAAATCATTAAATTCTTGATCATGCTATACATTTTTATCCGATTTTAGTATGCATTCATCAAACGTGTAATAATATTAAAGTCTCAATAGTTTTGGTATAACTTCAACTATACAAAGTATCCTTTTTAATTCATTCTTAAATAAATGGTAAACTAGATTGGTTTGTTATAATTGACTTGATTGTGGCTAGCAATGGAATTAAGGACGCCCGTTTCATCCTATTTGAGTCTAGTCAGCTGGACATACCCTGCACCTTAGTGAGTGATGTTGTTCCTATTGAGACTCGAGGCATCCGCATAAGAGCCCTCATGCCAGCAGTGATTAACGAATTCGATTCAGTATAACAACGGAGAATTACAAGTATCAATAAATAATAATAAATTGGTTTGTGTTCATCTTCTCAGTAACTATTCCTTCCTATTAAATGAAAATGTGGTCAGTTCTTTAAAAGGTATTAGAAAAAGCATGCTACTTATTGTTACAAGGTAGAGTTGTGAGAACGAACGAACCTACAGTCTGTTCTATTAACATCTAGCATTCAGTGACTCGACCGCCTCCATGACATATCCCAAAAGTCTTGAAATGTCCTCCACCAAAACGCATAATATTAGCATTACTAGAGTTTCGAAATGTAACCTTATTGTTGTTATCTGCCTATCCTGGGGGAACAAGAAATTGTTTCCGTATGTAGTTTTGTAACTACTTAAGAATCAAATAAATTGGGAAGAATAATTATAAAATCGATTGAATTCAACTTTTCTCTATGAATATGCTCTACTAAAGGTAGAAGCCACAACAAAGTGATAAAAAAAAATAAAGGGGATAGTCATTTTGTTTAGAGTAGCAAAGTTTTGCCTGTTTATCCTACTTACTGTAGTCAATAATTGACCAATAAGAATAAAAACTACTAAAAATAAACGACCAATCATTAAACCGCATACTTACAAGCCTATGTAAAGAACCATGTGACTGAAAAATGTGACTAACAATGCAAATTTTCTCCTTACTGTGACGACGTTATAATTTCATCATCTGTATTTCTAGTGATGAATACAGGTGTTTGTAGTATCATCACAATTAGTTTCATTAGATTGAGAACCCCTTTTGATATGAACAACAGATAGCAGCTAACAGTACAATCCACAACGTGTATTTCGTCCTGTTTGGGACTCATCAGATGGACGTACCTGCCTCCCAGTGAGCGCACTTTTCGTTAGTATGTGGACCAAAAGACGAATAACTACACATAATAATATCCAAAATTATGATAAATAAAAATATAATCAGATGTTACGGATGAATAATTCCCCAAAGTCGATTTCTTTTGTGAAGTTTATGTTGTCAAGTTTTAATTTAGCAAACAAACAATAGGAGCAGAGAAATATTTATTTTCAATTAGTTCTTCGTCAGTGGTTCTATACTAATATTAATATATAGCATCTTCAAAACATAAAATTACACACCAATCTAATAGTGATAAGCTTTTTTATCAATCGCGAAATATCAACGGGAGTGATAACTAATCACGGTACTGAAGACTATAGCGAAAGTATAGAATAATTACATGGTAGATTTTGTGAAATTGTAAACAGGTTGTTACACAATTAATAGTTTGTGTAATAGTAACTAACACGAAAGGACAAGAAAACGAATTATTATGTTAAGCGATCAATTGTTGACGATAATTAGAGACAAGAGGAGAAAGAGCAAACTGGCTAAAGGCGTCGTGAATATTAACTCCGTATCGGATGTCGACCAAATGAGAGAGTATTGAGCTCTATATCAATCTTGTTCGCCCTTCACTTAACCATGACAGATGATGTTCGGCGACCTGACAACGGACTTGCCTAACTGCACGCCTAATGTGACTAGCTCCACTGGAGCAGTTGAGTTGGTAAATGCATATAGAAGAGGCAAAGTCAGATAGCCTGTTTTTAATTCGCGAAGTCATCACTAGCAGACTGTAGAATGCATAGCGTAACTTTGCTGTGTTAAATGATCCCCTTATGGCTTTCTTTGGTCTCTATCATACGCCAGTCCAAGTCAATCACCTTTCTTTTCCCTAGTATATCAGTCACGGTGAATGATTGGCCTAATGTAGAAGAGTGCTTATTCGTCTTGAACTTGTACTCTACTCAATAACTTGACAAGTATCTGTCTGTGACACTCATCTTGGTTTTGAGAATATCGAAACAACCCCATTTGATCATAGGAAAACATAGAAGATGATTGCAGCGACGAAGAATTCCTCTTTTCGACGAAATCATTCTCTTAGCTGTGCATTCAGTGTGACAATGGGATCGCCTCTACAGTCCCTCCTAGTTGACTGATTTATGGCCAGCTTGAAAAATACGACTTCATCGAAAGTAGTCAGCTAGTTTCATGTCTACAAAAGATACATAGATGATACCTTTATTATTTGTGACGAGAATACGAATCTCGAAAGCCTGCTTCCAACTTTCAATAGTACTCACCGTTTTATTAAATTTACTCTAGAAGCAGATTCGAACTCGGAACTCCACTTCATTGACGTTTAACTTCGAAGAAAAGTTGACAGTTCAGTCCAGAGAATGCCCAATTTAAACATTCAGCTTAATAATTTTCAAAGCTGTATGCCATTAAGCAGAATCAATTCACTCTCTTCAAGAATACAAAAAATATGCACGGAAGATACCATCCACGATGAACTAGAAAACTTGCGAGAAATCCTGATGGAAAATATCTACCCACTGAAGTTTATAGATAAGAATTTAAAGCCAAAAACTTCATGGAGCATTAGCATACTGCCCCAAAAAAGATTTTACTGTTGAACCTTGTATTCAAGAGAGATAATGCGTCAGACATACTTATAAAGAGACTATCAAAGTCCATAAACAGAACATTCTTTGCCGTTAATCTTGGAGTTATATTATTCTGTCAGAAACCCCTTCGTCAGCACCCAAAGGATAAGCTGGAGCATTGGGTCACATCAATATGTGTATACCACTGCTTGCTGCTGCAGAATCGAGTACATCAGCCGTCCTGTACACCAGCTTGTAAAACGCGCTCACCAACACTATGTAACTTGGTTGACAAGGGGAGAACGGAAATGCATTTTCAGCTCTATAATAGAACACTTAATAAACTTGTGACATTTGACTCCTTTTGATAAGTCCTTCAAAATTCTGTACAAATTGTGACCAAATCACTCCATAGGAGTTAAACTAAGACATTGAGGCATAACATAGGTATTAGCGTTTCAAATGTTCAAACCATCATTATGCTTTCAAAAGAAATATGTACAACCTCCTTCTTTGTTATGGTCGTTCTAGAACATATATATATTTACCGCTTTTACGTCAAACTGGTTAGATGGTATTTTGACACATAACACTATTCGTAACCTTTTGAAGATTGAAATATTAAGAGCCATTTACCACCGAATGGCCACTATCAAGTAGCCTAGAACTCGAACCTATATGGGATCGAGCTGAAGACCTTCATGTTTTCTTCACCTAGCGTATTACCACCCAGCTAGCTAACTATCTGAAATTTCAGCTTGGTTAAAATTCATGACGTAATGTAGCCATCCAGTTCCGTAGTAAACATCCATTCTCATTTCAAACATCCGATTTTCGATACTGCTTCAGATTCTATATATATGTATTATGTTGTTGTAGTGTGTGTAGTTTTTTTTTAATTACATTTTTGCAAATTCTTCAGGTTCCCTAACTTTATCTGTACGCGATGAAGAACGTGGACTATCCGGTGTTATGAATACTGTGAAACATTATCGTATAAAGCATCCAGATTATCGTTACTATTATATAACAACCAAGTGTAGTTTTTCTAGTCTTCAAGAATTAGTCCAGTTCTATTCAATCGATTCACATGGATTATGTTGTAAACTAACAAGAGCATGTCTACGTCCTCCACCAATAACTTCTGATTTATCTGTTAAAACAAAAGACCAATGGGAGATACCTAAGTCGTCGATAGTTTTAATTGAAAAACTTGGTGCTGGACAATTTGGGGAAGTTTGGAAAGGTAGGTTGTATTGTGCTTACTTACAAACATGTAACAGTAATATACTTATACTTTGATAGTCGGTTTATTTTGTTGCGATTGAATGTACTATTATACACTTTTAAATTCAGTTCAAGTGCATTTTGATAAAGTGTCGTAGGTATTTCATTGTCATAAAAGACCTAAATGCATTCATAATACATTTCGTTTACTATCGGGTTTATATCTGAACCAGTGGTAAATACATTCCACTGTTATCGTATTTACTGTGATATTGATAAGGAGTCTGATGAACGGTTGACACATCCTAGATGCCAGCCAATATAATCGTTCCTGTAAAATAAAATGAACTCCAGGTTGGTATTCATCGTGGAGGAAGATCATTTGGAGCAATATTGGAAACCTGGGGGCACTGGGAAGTCGTTTCATCCTAGTGTGAGACTCCTCAGCAGTGTGCACCAGTGACCCTGTCTGAGGTTGAGCCCAGGACCTTCAGTTTCTACGGCCAGCATGTACCGTTGAGCCACTCGGTTGGAATCCAATGGTCTTTATTTTCTATCTCTATCAGTTCACGATATAGCACGACCTGCATCCAATGCTGTCGTAAAGTAACTGGCCTCATGTCCTACTTGTTTGGCCCTATCGGTCACTACTTTTCATTAGCACTTCGGAACTCACCTCTCGAGGAGAGTCACCAATGAGCATTAGATTAATGCAATCTAGAGGACAGCTACGGAATGACGGGATTGGTTGGAGGTCATACTATTTCGTGAACCGACGGAAGCAGGAAATATAGACCACTGAATTATGACCCAGTGGCTCAATAGTAACGTGCTGAACAGGAGATCTGCAGGCCCTGGGTGTGCACTCCTGAAAAGTCTCATACTAGGACAAAACAGCTGTCCAGTCCCCCTGGGTTTTCAGTGTTTCTCCAAATGATGTCCCTTCGTGATGAATACCAACCCGAAATCAATAAAAAAAAAATGCCCGCAAACATCCAAATTGAAGTAAAATGGACTTCTAATGATGATCTTAAAGTTTAAGAGATATCTGTATACAACCATGTGAGTATAACATGCTGAAAAATTTCAGCTTTTAGGATCACTGTCATTTTCGAAACCCTTTCATCAATGTTTTAACGTTTTCTGATTGTAATTACCTGATGCACGTCATTCTGATGACTCAACACTGACGTTGGATGTAATTAGTCTCGCTTATGCATGCCCCACCTCGTAGACTGACTTTAAAGACCGTTCTAACAACTGCTAAGATAATCCATTACGGTTCTCTATTTTATAAAATATTAACCCCCCTATTGAAATACCGAAACCTGATTGGTTAGTTCAGCAGTTGCTAGGGCAACCATTAAAGTCACTTCGCTTTCGTATATGCTCAGTCCACCCACACGATAAGTTACGCAATTTGATTCTTCCAAGGATATGCAGCAGAACGTGAAGTGCAGTACCTACTGTTCGTTTGTTGTTGGCACCCTGAATCATCTGTGTCTACACAAGTAAATTTCAATAAACCATAAAAACGAAGCAACTAATTGTAATGCCAAAAAAATAAAGCAACACGCAATAATTGATATCCGTCAACATACAAGCTAATAAGTCATATATAAATGAATGAGTTGATTGAATGCTCTTGAATCGAGCTATACAATAATGTTAGTAAGTCATACATAGAAAAAATAAGACATTACAGCTGATAACACTTATATGAGATCTATGTTTTCCACTTTCTGGCCAGTATAACAGCTAACATCGGAATTTCATGTCTCACGTAATTATTTTGTTTCTGTTACCTACTTTTTCTCTGGAATAAAACAATGTTGCTATACATATGCTGATGATTCTTGGAAAACAGATAACTTCTGGGTCAGCCAGGTACAATAATTATGTTTTAAACTGCTAGGTGGATAGCAGCGAATTTCGTTCTACTAGAGACTCACCAGCTGAACTTTACCTGTACCCCAGTGAGTGATGTTGCTCCCACTGGGACTCGAACCTAGTACCTATCAGTTGAAACGCCAAATTACTACCCACTAGGCCATCGCGGCACGAGAGCCACCACTTGTGCAACGGGTATCAGCCGTTGTTTATTGATACTTGTATTGTCCCGCTGCTATACTGGGTCAAATCGCTCAACCTCTGTTGGGAGAAAGGCCCCTATGCTGATAGCTTAGTTCTGCACAGTTACTCATTGTGTTTTATTCTACTTACTGATGTCGTGAACAATATTTGGGCAAGATGATTCCTTCATGATAATGGAAAGAAAGCAACCTAATAGATTATTGGTAGTTATTATGTTTCCCTCGGTTTTTCTTGATATTGGTTTTCAGAAAGTGCTTTCCCTTCTGCTTAGTTTTCATCAGCTAAGTTTATCTGCATCTTTACTACTCTTACTGAAACTGAAGCCTGACACCGGTCACTTAAAATGACAAAGCAGTAGTTACTTTTTTATTGAATTAAGCCAAGCACTTTTCGAATCGTAGACTGCTTTCGGTTATATACTGATTGGTAGCGGGAGGGTAACCAATTTCATGTTGTCGAATTCGAAAGGCTGGCCGAATTCTACCAGTCATTTTGCGATGTGACCACCAAGCTAAAAGGCTAACCATCGTGGTGCACCTTGATAGATGTTGCTCTGTTAGAGGTAGTTGGCAGTAGGTCCTGATTGAACCAGGTTTCGTGCTTTTTGGCACTCTTCAGAAAGTGAGGCATGTCTTCAACCTTGAGGGGACTGACGTCCTCTTTAAGGTCCGAACCCGCGTCACCCAATGTTGAAATCAACAACATCAGTCCCCTGGAAGCTGCATATGTTTCTTTCTGATGAGTTCCAGCAAGCACGAACCCTAGGTATATATATATGATCATATGGTTTTTCACGAGTGTTCGGTATGTTGTAATTGGTTGTGAAAGCTTCCAGGAAGTTCTGTGCTTTTGTGAGGAAACTGGCATATACTGATTGAAGCGTTTAAGAGACTCTTTGTGGCAAGTAATGTTTTCATGACTCTTCATGGGTAGTTCTCATGTTTTATACCAAAGGAAATTCTTCAAAATTTCATTTACACCTCGACCTTGCCTAAAACGAATTAAGCCCACTCTTTACAATCTTAATCCAAGAACTACTTGAAAACTTATTAGTTTTATGATGGTGTCTGCAATCCATGTATCTAAAAGTAATGTCTCTGTCAGTGTCACCTTTTATTGCGCTCATCAGTTTATTTCATCTTATTTTTCTATATACCAGCTTTGTGCTGGTTTCAAGGTTGTTCCTGGTTCTAACTGTAATGGGCAAACCAGGTCCTCTAGAGTTAAGTTATTCGTGGTGAATGTTTAATTAACCTGAAAGTGCACTCAGTAGACTACTTTAGTAATCTAACCTCAGACACAGGACACCACATTATCACTTCGGTTCATGATGCCACACTTCACAACAATACAGTGAAGCTGAAGTCAACTACTGGGACAGACAGAAAAATGACAGTAATAAAATTGAGCATCATAAGAAAAAACTGTAGTACAAAAAGAAAAGAAAATCGAGGTATAGGACAGTTAAAATTCTCAAGATTTAAGCCCGCCAAAAAAATTACAAGTGCATCTGCTTTACTGCGACTGATATTAAGTTACATCATTCATTCTCCGGCTTTCCTCTTCGAATGTTCGAAGGTTCGTGCACTAGGTAATGAGTCACATCTACTACCCTAGCTAGTCACGTTATGTAGTTGCCGGGATCTGTGTAGACAGGTCAGTATTCGAACTCGTAACCCGGAAGTTAGTGATTTGATGAACTGGTACCACATCTTAGTCTAGTCACCCTTAGCTTTATTATAATCAACCATTATCCTACCTAACGTAGTGTTTTAGGTAACTGAGGCCTCGATATATATTACACATGTTCTAGTCATCACAAAAGAGAGAAACTTATGACCGCATCAACTATTCCATATATCTCTTGTTACTCATCCGGTGGCCACATCACATTCAACAAGAAGTAGCAGTTGTCAAATGTTTCATATATATTTATATATCATGGTATTAGCCTTATTGGAGTTTTATTCCTGCATCTTTGTTCTTGCAACAGGTACCTGGAATGGGACTACAGAAGTTGCTGTGAAAACATTAAAACAAGGCACAATGACTAAAGAGGAATTTCTTAAAGAGGCACGTATTATGCGTGCAGCTCAGCATCCAAAGTTAGTTCGACTGTACGCTGTATGCACTGAAGATCCTATATATATTGTGACTGAATTGATGTGCAACGGCAGTCTATTGCAATACCTTCGTGATGGTGCAGGGAAGAATTTACAGCTCAATTCCCTTGTTGATATGATGGCTCAGGTAATATGTTTGATTCTTACACTGCATTCTGTTTATTTGAATAATGTTTATTATAACTCTGTCTTGAAGATTTGACGGATATTCTAGTCGTAACCGAGGTTCGGGTTTCCTGTTAGGTCGTATAATTAACGAATTGAAGGAAATGCTCAAACTCCGGTCCTAACTATTGTTATCCCTCCAAATTATTGTGTGCGAGTTTATCATACAACCATTAATTTCACACTGGCTGACTCAGAGAGAGGAGAAATTTAGACGGCTTCCTCCCTCCCCACTCAACAAAAATACCACTGGAAACTTGTGGACGGACCCACAAGATATCTGTCTGAGATCTGTCACATAGCCTTTTGCGGATTGTTGTTTTGACGCCGGACAGAAAAAACCCATACCGTCGGCACGGGACGACCGTGGAACAAGGAGGAGTGTTTTATGACTTAGACCGACTTTTCGTAACTCCCCTCCCTTCTTCCCGTAGGAAAGGCAGCATAAGCGTGGCACTGCTAGTCTATCTAGCTAGTAGCAGTAGGACTTTGCCCTCAGATGGCCGTCATAGTGTAGCAATTTACACTGCAACGGTATAGCGAAAGTATGGGAAGTGTGCAATATCTTAAAGTGTAGGTGTCCTAATTAGGATACCAAAGAATGAGAACATAGACTCATAAAGGATATTCATAATTGATTGGTTGTTGCTCTCATTCTTTCTGGATACGGATACAACAGTATTTTTCCCGATGATATCCGTAACTGGAAACTAGTCAAAACACACCAGTCATTGTAACCATATTAACTCAGCTTAAGACCTACCAGATTTGCTATCAATATTGCTCATGCTGCACCTCAGTCGATGATGTTGTTAACTTTCAGTGAATCAGATAGCTGTGGCATATTTTTATGGCATATCTGGTTACCATCTGCCTAGGAGTACAATGTTAGCTGAACTAGGTTTAGCCTGGAGAAAGGTAGAAGACGGCCAGATTAAAACATGACATCAGTCCATGAAGTCTTCTACTGTTGGTCTGAATCGTATAAGGGAATGTAGACTTCCATGCCACAACAGAAATTCGTGGTTGGAAAACTATGTGATGTAGCTCAGAACCAATCTTGGTGGTGTAGATGCATCCACACATCTTCATCTTAATCATCATACTGAATTTTGGTATTCTCTCATTCCTCCTTGCTCTCTTTTAATGACCTATCACTTATAACTGCTTTCTTCTTCATTTCTTTATCTTTTTTCTGATGGATCCTCGCTTGATGTGATGAAATGAGCTGTAGTAACTTGGAATGTTATGCGTTAATGTCAAGTCGCAGGTTAATACTGACTGATGTATGTGAGTGAAGAGTCAACGAACGGCATTGCAAAAAAGGTTGTAATTTCTGTGATGATAGTGTCAATTGGTAGAGACTGCAGCATTAGTTCCTGCTACCGTCTCTTGGTGATATACTTGCCTGATACTCACCAGCAAGCAAATATATAACATATCAAGAAGGAATCTAATAATTGCTCCTAGCTTTCTGTTACTAAATATAGTGCACACTTTTAGGGACTATCACCTGCATTCTAAAGTGTTTTCCATGATTGAAGGATTTGGGTCAGCACTATCATTGTCTAATCTATGGTTGCTCACGAAGAAGTAGTATTTTATTGTTACTACCAAGATGATCATTGGCATGTTTAAGCACAATTTTTGTCACAAATAAATGAGAAAGGCAGTGATGAACACTTTGTTTCAACCTTACAAAGGACCACTCATTAGCGAGGACATCCAAAGCTGGAATTGTCAAGTTCTGTAGTGAACAGAATATCATTTAATCTTTCGGTTGGTAACCAGTGTCCCACATTTTACACATTTACTGAATACGTTAGATGTTTTACTCAGTGAATCGATGAAAAAAGGCCATCCTAACCACTGCTTAGATTACTAATTGAGTTTCGTTATTGTTTGAAAAACCACGCATTCAGTCGAAATATAGAGGTGCCTGATTAATTGATCATTTCAGTTGTTATTGGGGGGGGGGGGGGGACTTTAGAGCCACTAGAAAACACTTCGTAATCGGTAGGTAAATGAATTCAACTTCTCATAGAAATAGCTAAACTCATTGAATTTCACTGTGTTCTTTTCTGGATTCGATTTCAGCACTTATTAGTGAAAATATTAGCTAACAAAACAGCTCACGATCTATGATTGGATATGTAAACCAATGTTTCTTTTCTACTGAATGAAAAAAGGGTAAATTCTCCGGTGTCTTTAAAAAGAAATTGCTCCTTGTTGCTTTTATCTCTTTTTATCGACTAATGACATAAAAGCAAGGTATGCTTGATTTTTAAAACACTCAAAAATGGTGCTAGACTACTCAGAAATGTATATTAGTTAGTATTTGTTAAGTAGTCAGGAAAATAATGCATACACTTATCTACTTACTTTGTATTAGTAGTATAAAAATCCACGTTAAGTCAAATGACAAAAAATGTTCAGTGAAGAGTCATTTTCTTCAGTGATATCATTCTCCAGCTATACAATCGCACGTAGATATATTCTGTTCACATTGTAACAGAGAAGGAATATTTCATAAAGTATTTTTGAAGGAATTTCAGTTAGAAGGACTGAGAATTGAATTCAGTAATGTTTAAAATAGTAATAACAAAACGGGAGCAATACCAAATAGTTAAAGGGGACTGATGAATGTAATAAGAAATCAGGACGAAAGAATATAATGTAATCTGTCAGTTAGCGGATGAAAGAAGAAAAGAATTTCAGGGTAAAATATTCCTACTGGTCATGTCTATTGCAGTTCAAATGACTGAACAAGCTTCTTTTTGAGTGCACAGTTCAAGCTTCAAAATATTAGTTATCTCGGCAGTTTGAAGAAGTTTTAGGCATACGCTTTTTATCAGTCGTACATGAACTCCACTCTTTTGTGGAGTCCAGAGTACACCCAGTGCATTTTACCGCCACAAGAGCAAGTAAATTGACGGATAAACAGACATAGAGGTGATCAAGAGGGCTAGTTCATCCTTTAAGAGAGTTACTTTGAGTTCTGGGAGCATAAAAAGTTTTCCTCAATGAGAATGACAGACGATTTCTTAATCTATTTGCTAATGTATTCCCGTTGAACTGTAAATTCATGGAAAGAGACATCTTAGTAACCGTTAAAGAAGAATGACTATCAGTTTCATAGTTTTTGCAATGAAAGACTCAGGATACTTGCTTTCAATCAAAACATTTTGCGAAAAAAATCAAGTTCATCTTCTACACCACAGATAGTGTGTAAACTTTATGATTCAAAGAATGAATCAGATTTCCTTAGGTGTCTAGAACCACGCAACTATTAAAATTAGTAAGTTATATGTTCCATCTGGGTTTTCTGTAAACAGACATTTTCAGGTGTCTATTATCTCGTCGTTTTAGCTGCGACTCATTTTTTCGAGGCAGTTATCTCTTAACCAACGAGTTGCGGGTTCAAACAATGCCCAACCTACTGAGGTTTGGGTAGCCGGGTGGCTCATTGCTTACTGCACAAATGTGCACGTTGCTGAGAGCATTTTGATCTGATTTCGCATCTTGTTAGTTTGACCAGTTTGAACCGAATGCATGCATTTTTCGTCACCTGTCATCCAGTCGACGTAGCTAAGGGTGTATATTATACAAATTTACATAGCTGTGCTTTTTTTCTGTGTAAAACGTCTTGCAAGCAGATACACTGCTAGGTATAAGTGTAAATTTTCTTGTATATAGTTTGTGGGATAAATAATGAAAAGATGACTGAGAATTCCGACGATAAACTTAAAAAGAGGGATTTTTCCAAGTGTAAATATTTATCGCCTTTTACCTCATAGTACCTTATGGATGACACATTGTTCACTTACACATACACACACACACATACACCAAAAGTCGTGTAGGACAGAATACTACCCACAAATGTTGCGGTTGAGATTACCGCGCTTTGAAACACCACAGACAAACAGTCAACAGAACTAAAAAGGTATCCAAATAAAAATGACATGAAATGGGGGGGGGGAGAGCATTCGTAAAAATCAATAAAATCTCCAGATTTGTGGAGATGATTTACTTAATTATTGACCATGCTACAAAAGGTCCCTAACCATATATAGTATCCTAAGGAATTCAAGCAGGTGGTAGCCTGCGCTGCGCTTCGAAATGTTTCAGGTTGATAGTTAGGGAGGTGTGGATTATTGATATAGGTAGTTGACTGCTAACCAGTGGATCGCGCAATAAAACCTCGTTCCACCTACGGAGGTTCAGGCAGCTAGGTAATATCATTAGCCCTCACAAAATACGTGTGACTCATCACCTAATACATGAATTGGTGAATTGTCGACAGCATTTTGATGCTGTTGTGTTCTCTGAGCTGGATTGTTTAGTCGTGAAGCTTTCATTGTCATCGTAGACATCATCAGCACAAACTTCAGAAAGAAGTGAGCTATAAGGTTTGCTCCCCAATTTATTTAGTGTCCTTTCCTGATGGCCTTGTGTGTGATTGGTTGCTTCTTTCAAGGTCTTGTTATTGTCTCCATATTTATTTCAACTGATTGTCCGGATGACCTGACATATCACCTTCTAGTGTTTTTATTGGTTGATAGATTGGGTCAGTGTCAATCTGTTTGTTAATCACTGACTGACCTAAATACCAAGCTTCTAAAAATTCTTTGACATTCTTTTTATTTCCTCTATCCCAGGATTTTCAAATTTTCCCAGTTAAATTCTTCTCCAGAGTTTTGTGTATGCATTGGTATGATATATCATGATCCTCCACCGATAGTTGATATTCGTGTAGACGGATGCGAAGACGATGATCGCTCTGTCCATTGTAGTGTTTTTCTCACTTTCAGCAGTTTATCTTGTAGATAATGTTTGGTTTGCCTTGTGAGATGCAGGAATTCCAAAAGGCTTCAAATATCTAGTTGTGATCTCGGATATGTTCATCATGTAGGATAGGACGATCCGTTTATTAGTTTTCTAGGTGGACTTCTTGGTTGATGACGAATTATGTAAACATCTTTTGATGAAATTTTGTCAATAGCCATTCTTCTGGAAAATAGTCATCACAAAAAGGTTTTCTTAGCAGTGTTGATGATGTACCACAGTGTGTTTTCTCTCTTCCGAACAATGTTTTTATACAACCGATTTTGCGTGCTTTTGGGTTTTCTGCTGCTGTAGTTGAGGCTTTAAATCCATATGTTAGCTTTCTTTAGACTTGAGTTTCCAATTTATCCGAATCCGTTCCAGTCATTACAACCATAATAAGAAAGTCAAGTTTCAGGTTATCAGGACAACTAATCAAAATAAACATGGAGACAATGACAACACCTCTACAAGAAACACACACACACAAACAAACAAACAAACAAAGCTATCAGGACAAACTACTAATCCATTTGTGGAGAAAACACTATAGCTCATTTCGTTCTGAAGTCCGGACTGATGATTTTGTCTAGAATGACAATGAAAGCTTCACGATTAAATCATTTAGCTCAGGTAAAACATCATCATCAAAATTATCCTCCTGAGCTACAAATAGTCTTCATCATCTCATGATAAACAGTAGTTTTAAATGGAACACTTAATTTTTATAAGCTGCTTGGTGTAAATTGATTTTTTTTTGAGGGGGGGAGGGGGGTTGACTATAATGTACTATGCTTTTATCTCTAATTCTTTTAAATATTATTACAGATTGCCAATGGAATGGCATATCTAGAGAAAGAGCATTATATTCATCGAGATTTAGCTGCACGTAATATTCTAGTTGGAGAGAATAATTGTGTTAAAATAGCTGATTTTGGTTTAGCACGTATGGTTGAAGATCATTATTCTACATATATGGCACAAAAGAGTACAAAATTCCCTATTAAATGGACAGCACCAGAAGCTGCATTAATGGGTCGTTTTACAATTAAATCAGATGTTTGGTCATTTGGTATAGTTATATACGAGTTGATTACACTTGGTCAAGTTCCCTATCCATCAATGAACAATACTGAGACATTACATCAAGTCAGTACTGGATATCGTATGCCACGTCCAACCAATTGTCCACAACCAATTTATGATATGTTATTACAGATATGGGATAGTTCTCCTGAGAAACGTCCAACATTTGCATTTCTTTTCGAATTTTTTGAAGATTACTTTGTTACTTCTGATACAAATTATAAACATGCTGCTACTTCATGTACAATTGTATCTGTTCCTAGTTCTGGCACTGATGTTACACCTTCTTCTGTTCATGGTATGAATCATCATCATACTGAGACAAAGTTAGTTGAGTCAACTAGGACAACTCAACAATCAATAGGAACACTAATAACGTCGAATGTGAATGGTATTCACTCAGTTGCATCAAAGTGTTGTAGTGGATGTCTTGTTAAAGAGAAATTGCATTGAAATCCTCCCACCCCCTCCCATCAATTTCTGCTTGGTTGTGCAGTTCACCCCCCATATATAATATGTGATCAATGAATTTATTCACATTACTAATCTACCTGCAAATCAGATTATTGATTCCTATTATTCTCGATATTCGTGTTGTTGTTGTTGTTTTAGTCGTGATGATGATGATGATTGATTACGTGTGTGTTTTGTGTTTAATGCATTTCACGTTGGACAAATAATGATCCCTTTTAGTTGCCATGCACTTACACACACACGCACACACACATACTGACTTGATAATTTAATCACTTCATGATGTTTTTGGTTTTTACTGTGATCTCTTCTGGAAAACAAAGCCTCTTTTTCTACGCCCCTTATACATTTTCCTATTGCCTATCAAATTGGCGCACATCCAATCTTCGATACATTAATGATAAATATAATAATAATGTGAAATGTTTCTTATACATTACTCAGGGGTCTCTAAAAAAGAAACAAGCATTTTGTTATTTTGAAGAATTTTTCCCTCTTTATTATTTTTGATGTTTATTTAAAATTGTAGAAATTATGTGTGTCTTTTTCACCATTTTCTTTCTACTTAATTCCTATTATCGGTTCCCCCCCAACTGTCTTCTTTACCGCTTGTAATAATTCATCTCTCAAGGTATCTTTTGAATGGGAATCATGTTGACCGTATATATATATATGTATATACATATGTATATATATATATATATATATATATATATATATATATATACAAAGCATTTAAGAAAAATCTCCCAGTGGAATATTACTATACAATCTGATCATTCATGTATTCTGTCATTTTGAGATTCTTCTCTCTTCATGATGAGAAATTCAAATGTTAATCACTTCTTTATGTATTTATTTGTTGTAATTTGCTTTAACTGTCTGATGTTTTATCAATATTGTCATTGTGTAATATTCTCCTTCCATTTTATCGGCAATAATAATAACTCAATCGATTCATCAATGATTACTTTTTGTTTTGGTGACAGTGATGTGATTTTTCTCTTTCTTCTTTCTCGTCTTCTACTTCTTCGACATAATCAGCTGATGATATTGATTGTTTATATTGTGTATTTTAGGATAATAATTATTGACATTGACACCAGAAAAGAAATAGAATAATCTATTGTATATGTATATACGTATGTTGTTTTTTTAATTCTCAAAGATAGATATTTATACTGGGTAATGATTGGAGAACCGAGAACTGATTCGAGCCAGCGACAACCGAGTTTTCGGCCTGACTGCTGACCAGATTTTTATTTCACTTCAATCACCAACTACCATGTGAATTCATGACACCCTACTATTGCTCGATCGTACTCACACTAGTTGTCCAGTCAGGACTTCTCATCTCAATCCAAATCCACATGGTAGTCGGGAAAAACCCTTGGTGATTGAAGTGAAATAAAAGTCTGGTTAAGGAGTCGGGTCTTGTAGCTCAGTTAGTAGTTCGGCCAAAAACCACGTTTGGCGTCGTCTGGAAGGCAAAGGATAGCTTGGAATGCTGTGCAGCAACCGATACCAGGCTTAAATACGTTTGAGAAACGTTGGCTAATGTCAGCTCGCTCTTGATCTGATTACAGATAGCACCTAGAGGTATATCCGAGAGATCAAGGTTTTAAGACCATTTGAAATCATGGAGATTCAGATCTGCGTCAGATAGATAAATTCCACCTATCGAGTTACATACAGTACATGGAAACTGACCAGTAAGTGGTAACCGGCCACCGCATGCGCTGATGGCAGTTTGAAGAGTCTTCTGGACTGGAGGTTGGCCAATCTGTAACCATAGCTTCTTTGAAGTAATTGTAATGCCTGAAACTCAATTTGTAGTCGCACTGGATGGTTATTTAAATGAACGTTGATATGTCTTCCCCGCACTGGTGCATGTGCTTGGAAAGGAGCGGTAAGACTTAAAGACTTGCCAACTGGTGGAGACTTCGATGGTGAACTGCGTGTTCTTTGTGATGGGTGCTTCCTAAAAAATCCATCTTGATGACCAACAATGTTATAATCTCGGCATTTGTTCTCCTTATAAGACAAATTTGACAAAATGCTATACACCACAATGTCAGCAGTTGAATGAAGGTGTCTTCTTCATGTTTCTTCTGGATTGAGTTGTTGTAATGATAAAAAGGAGATGGAGAACCAGGGATCTTTCGGCCAGAAAAGGATATGGAATAATTAGATGTCTGGCGAACCATATTCAATTCATGATCACTCCAGCATCTGGAGTTGACTAAACTTGTATCCCGTTGCAAGTTGCCCAGTCTTTGTTATTCAGCCATGATGTCATTCAACATTAACGTCGAGTCTTGCTCCTACCGATAAAGTAATCTAATTCTAATAGAGCACTTCGGTAACTGAAGAGTGTATATGAGTATCAAGGATTTGAATTGTTCATTGGCGATGGATCTCAGCTTGAATTTTTCTCATTCACGATTGACAATACCAACATGAGTGATGAAATCACCATTGTAGTTTGTCACCAGTTTGAGACAATGATATCTGGTATTGAAAAGAGACGAATTATCACTAGTGCTGTCTTACGGTAGAACAATGACTTCCTAACGTGAAACTCAGCTGAAACGAGAAGATTAAGAAGACAATGGGACTGAGGGTGTGATTGCTTCAACTGAAACAATGCGATCACAGATGAAAGTCCAGTGGTTTATATGCATTTCTAAGGCCCTTGACCAGGGAAAACGGAATAGCATATAAAACGTTGACCAATCAGCGTCAAGAGCAAGTAACATTGTATGAAGCGAAGAAGGGGTGAAATTAAGGTTTAAGTCTTACAATGAAAATAATATACATATCATTTGTTTTGAGGGATTAAACATCCCCAACAGAGACCTTTGAGCTGAATACGAATAGCGATTGTTCTCCTTTACCATCAAATACTTCACTGAGGCATCAAAATCAGAAGTTAAAGAACGACCTGTGACTGCAAGGTAGATATTTAATAAAAATGCATCATTTTATATACAGTTTTGATGAATATATAAAGCCATTAGACCAAAAGTGAAATTCTTATTCTGATTAGTCAACTGGAAGATGAAATGTCCAATAAGGTGTTTCCTGACTACACAATGATATGAAGCAAAGAGTGAAGTACAGAAACTTCTACCTTAGCGTCTGATGACTTAAATTGTTGATTTCCATTTAGGCCGCTTCCTATCTATGTACCAATTCTTTTTAGAGCTAACGAAAGTGTTTATCAAACCATCGACATCTTCAAATGCAATGCGCAGCTGATTTCGACTGATAATTTTGAAATCGAGCATAATACGTTTCAAGCAATATATGATTTGCATTAGTTTTCTCGTGATAATGAACTATGATGATAATCATTTTGAGAGTATAGGACGTTAGTGATTTTAAGCCAAAACAGTTCTACTTTCTATGAATATTATAATTTCCAAGAGGATAGAATATCGTCCCTTATAATATTATTATAAAGTTCCATATTGTTGTACTACTCACCTAATCCTATTTTAACTAGAAGATATACTTATTGACCTAGATGAAGAGATTGATATTCTACTTGAGTCAGACTTAGTCAGGATTCGTCAACTCTTTTGGTTGCCTTGAAAATGTCAAGTCCTTAAAGGAGAGAAGTCTACTGAACAATCATTATTTATCATTCATAATATCGGTGTGGGACTTGACTTATTTGTTTGTTATCACGAGAGGAAACGACATCTTAATTACATATAATTGAGGACATTTACTCCAAAACACTAACTCATCCTAAGGGTCCGTATAACTTGACTACTGTTCACTAGTAAGGGTATGTAGTTATGATCAATAAAATCATCATCAATATTTGTGTGAAGCCACTTCAAAGTAGATACTGGATTATTTTCCATGAAATCAGTTTGTCTTCGTATTAAGTGATCACATTGAGATTGAATATTTCTAGTTGGTGTAACGTGTGCTTCAGTAGCAAACAAGCACGAATCATTTTCCTCGATAATATGTTAGTTGGCGCCGAAGTCCTTAAGTATAAACACTGGAGCTAAATAAGGAAAAGCTAATCATAATAATCTGGTTTGCCGTGACGCTACGGTTGTCGATATTATATTTCTGATTATTTTATGACTCCGGCATAAATGATTGTCTTCGCTTCAAAAATTTGAAACAGTCCCTTTTATGAAGTTCGATAGCGTAATTAGAAGACGAAGTTTATCTAAGCAATATGATGTATTTGCGCAATACATTTCGAACAATCTGATCACACATTTACTTATCAAGTCAATATATATTAAACCGAGGACTGGGAGTGGGGGGGGATAAATACAACAATTAACATACAATAGGGGATTAAAATTAAGAAAGATGAGGACAAACAGGAATTGACATAGTTGGTCCTAATCTTGGTAAGAAAACAAAGTTTACCAAGGTAGGTGTAGTGTAATAACAAACTGTTTTTGTACACATAAAGGTGGTTTAAATTTGTGTATGGCTATGGCTTCTGCAAATCTCAGAATACACAGCACCTATCTTGGTAAACTTTGTTTTCTTACCAAGATTAGGACCAACTATGTCAATTCCTGTTTGTCCTCATCTTTCTTAATTTTAATCCCCTATTGTATGTTAATTGTTGTATTTATCCCCCCCACTCCCAGTCCTCGGTTTAATATATATTGACTTGACAAGTAAATGTGTGATCAGATTGTTCGAAATGTATTGCGCAAATACATCACATTGCTTAGATAAACTTCGTCTTCTAATTACGCTATCGAAGTGAATGGTTGTATCCGTGACTTGTTTCGTATGAGCACTGCGCGACCCAACTATCAAATATTCATCCTTCCAAACTAGTAATCTATTCTTTTTCACCCTTGATGACTCACAACCCTATTGTTCTGTTCATTGTCGAACTGAATTTCCTCACCCTATTTTTGTCCCACCTTACTCGCACTACTGAAAAATGCCTCTCTGATGTATCTGCTTATTCACTCACCAGCATTACATTGATCTTTGCTCTATATCACGATGTAATTGGATGATCGTAAAGATCGCCACCTTGTGTACCAAAACTTGAATATTAACCTGAAAACTTAATTTCAGATTCATATTGTTGAAAAGGATCTTTTTTAGCAAGATCGAAACGTTGAGGAATAACACAAAGTATTTGTTTATTTTGTTATTTGTTCTCATATGCTACGCCGAGATTACCCAAGTAAAAATGTACCTTATACGATGAAGTTGCAATTATTAGTCGACTGAGATGGCTCAGACTTGTAATGCGCCGGCCCATCCTCCGCCTATCTCGACGTGCCATACTAAGGGCTGGAAGAGGGTTTAGAGTGATTGCATTAGGATGTGGAATCTGTCAACAAAGTCCCTGACTGTTGGTCTCAGTTATGTGAAGAAATGTAGAATATCTAGTTGGAGTCCTCAAGACGATAGGAATCAGTGGTTGAGGACTCTTGGTGACATGGTTGAAAATTGGTCGCAGTGGCGCAGATGTAATTTACAGCTTGACATCTAATGGTTGAATATCTACACTAACCGTTATCTTCAGATTATTCATTCTGTCACATAACTCTGTCTACATTGATATCGGTCTTTTTCTATTCATTCGTTCTTTGTATGCTACTGTGAAGTGTGGTCACTTCAACCAATGCACTTGTGTCCAAGATTTTATGA